AAGTCTAGCAATATTTCTTGAAAGTCAAAACACATTTTTTGGAGAAAATCCACCAAATACTTCCAAATCCAAAGCGGACAGTAGGACATGAAGTATTTCCTGAAGATGAAGGTGTATTTTAGGAATTAGAATTACAATCAAACTATAAAATGATAATAATCTTTGGTCTAAACAACATTTTGTTCATTTGACAGTTGAGTGATTGACTTATTTCTTTTTAACTGATCACATATCAGGTTTTTGACAATATAATAGTGCATCTGATTTATCTACTATGTTGTTGTTGTTGTTGTTGTTGTTGTCTGAGATGGTGAGAAAAAGACAATCACTGGATTATGTGGTCTTTTAACTAAATCACTCCGCGCTCCTCCTTGTTCTATTCCTGTCTCTTATAAGAGGTTTACTTGTACTTGAATCCAAATAGCCCTTCAACCACGGTACCAGATTTCCTGTGTCTCCGGACTTTCTAGCTCTTTCGTGTGCTTGACCTTTTTTAGTCCACCAACCAATTATCAGATTAAAGGAAAGAGAAACCTGCTTGTGCCTTCAACCCTGAGCAGGACTGAAAAACCACATCATCAGTACTCCCTGGTTCATCCTTTTAGGAGATGTGTGTGGTCGCGAGCGGCCAGAGGAATGGCACCAAGGCCGGAGAGCCGTCGCTGTCATCACACCAACCCCTTCATCCTGCTGTATGACTGACGACTGTTTCACTGTTGGGAGCTGTCATCGCCTCAGGCCTCAGGGACGTGATGCTTCGGGCTCAGGTGAGGCTCTGCAGGATGCAAAGGTTGTTTTAATGGTGAGATGATAAAAGCATGTGAGAGGGTTTACCTGAAAGTGCTCTATGACATTTTGGAAAACTTATATATTGAAGGAAAGAAGATTCATGCATAAAACACTTGCAGATGTAAAAGATCTTAAATGAGTTTATTCAACTTTACATAGCTTCCCACATTCAGCATTTATAAACTTTTAATACATGGTTTATAACACACATAATGTAGCTATAAGGACATTTTAAGTGTTTATTAATGTACAGTATTTGTCAGCAGTGAAAACTTGAAGACATATTTGATTTTATTACAACTGTGTTTTACTCTATTATCATTCATACACCACTCTCAGCAGAAGTTGTCAACAAAAGCATTATTATATGTTACATTATCATGTGTTATAAAGCGTTTATTACATTTGATATACCGCTTATAAATGCTAAATAGGAGGGTTAAAGTAAATTGTTACTGCTGAAAGTGCAGAGTAACTTGGAATTGAGCTCCTCTGTAATACACCTGCAAGAGAAATACTGGTTGCACGTAATTTGTTTCTTTACCTGCTGTGTATTTAAAAAATATACTGGAAGACTGAAGACTGGAAGCACTGGTGTGAATTTTTAAACACCATAGATAATTCATTTTGAACACAAGTCTTAATGTACTTGATAGAGGAATTTCAACAGTGTCCTGATTTAAAATATACTATAATTATATTATTTAACACTGAATGCATTTTATTTTATGCTAATATGCAAACAATTACAAATAAATCAAAGGAATAACACTCTGACGTTTGGTGATATACCTTGTCACATTTCTGGGGGGGTTTTTCTGAAAAACTAAAAGAAAATAGGCCAAAAGAATGCGGATCGCTGAATATTCGACACATACGTGACTGTTGAATATGTCCTTCCAAAACCAATCATGAAAACAAATGTTCACAAAACACGTAGATGAGTCTGTCCACATATAATTAATCAGCCAATAGATGAAAAAGTGTAACCAAAATGTCAAACATCAGGTTTCGGTGTCTGACCAATAAAAACATGAACTTCTTTCCATTTTTAATCAAATTTCAGCCATTAAGATGTGAGTTAAAGAATGTGGTGCAGATTAATAGTCTGTCCTCAGTCTGATTCCTCAGAATATGAGCAGGTTGTGCATTCAGTCATGTCGCAGTCATGAATGGGTACATTGTGTGTCTATGGGAAGAACAACTCTTGCAGCTCCATGAGTCATTTCCAACATCTATCTTTTCATTTACTTAAACAGGTTTAAAAAACTATTCGGGTCAAAAACTGTTACTCCATAGTTTTGTTTAAAAGGAATCCAAAATGATTAATGAATGGATCATTTTTCTTGTCCTTTTTTGTAAACAAGCTTGGATTTCAGCCAACTATTATTGCGCAAGCCCGTTGAAACCATAGATTGAGCGCTTTCACTCAAGCGGTGATTTGCATCCGCTTATTTGCTTTTGTTTGTTCTGTTTGGCACTTCCTCCTCTCCCACAAGGCAGCAGCAATTATCTGAGAGTGAAAGGGGCCCCCAGGAATGCAGGGCCGCGGCCGCCTGGACCGTTGAGAGCAACACGTGTTTATCGCAGGGACTTACTGGTTTACACCCACTCATGTTGGAGGGAATAATCTAAAGTGACATTAAGGATAGCATGTCAAACAATTGTTGTTTTTAGGCCTGTGGGGACGTTCTTGGCCATAAAATGTGTCACACAATATAGGCTATATTTCTGGTTATTAAACTGTTAAATAATAATAATCTGTAAATTCACATTACATAATTAGCTTTCTTATAACTCTCATTTTACTTTCTACACTTTATGAAATTATAAACAGCACATTTATTTTTCACACACAGAATTTTATTCAAGCTTTTTTTTGCATAGTGGAGGTGTCATAGATATTCTCATTAACTATCACTTCACTACAAACGAGGCTGAAAGTGAACAGCCATGCTGGTGACAGTCATACTTTAAACTTAATGCTAATGTCAACATGTTAACATGCTCACAATGTCTATGTTAACATGCCGAAAGTTTAGTGGTATGATTTCTTCACCATTTTAGTTTAGTGTGTTAGTGTGTTAACATCTTCTAATGCAGTGGTTCTTGACCTTTTTACACATCAGGATGTATTTTCTAAGACGTAGTCACAGAGATCTGATCTGATAAGATTTCATTATTCCATAACTGTCTATACTGTAGATTGGCAGATTAACAGTGAAGAGTCATTCTTACACATTCTCTCAGTGGTCTTCCTTCTAGTCAATTAAATAATAGTAAAATTAAAATATTCCCAGTTTTCTGGAGAACCCCTGAAACCTGGGGGGTCCCCAGAACCCAGGTTGCGAACCACTTGGACAAATTTGACATTTTTCACTCAATGGAAAGTCCACCAAAGTGATTACAATATATCCTGTGAAATTTCATTACAAATGATCCAATAGTTGTTTAGACATTTCACTTGAAACCACAAATGTTAACCTTGTGGTGGCGCTACAGGAGAAGTCAGGCAATCACCAGTCAGTAGGATTCATCCTCTGGGGTCCATGAATGCCTGCTTATATTTCAGTTTGGGCCAAAGTGGATTGACTGCAAGGATGGTTAAAAACTACATTTGATGTATTGTGTAGTGTGATGACTTGTTAATTGTAGAAAATTGATGCTTCTTCATATGTGACTGGCTTTACATTTGAATCTTACATCATGTAAGGTTATATGTTTTACATTTTTAAAAAGAAGTGGCTGCAGGTTCTCTTTCCACCACAGAGGAAGTGAGAGACAGTTTGATTGTGACTGCTGGTTAAATGTGACAGTGTGTTTCTAGCCGTGGGTGTTATTTGTTGTGGAGGAGTTTCCTGCGCACATGTCTTGCACTCCTACCTGCTCTTCTGCCGTCAACAGCTCCTCGGACTAATAATCCTACAACTGTTGGTCTGCTAGAAGGTTCAGAGAGTCCGCATTCACTGGGTCTGTAGTCCAAGCCTCTTAGCGTAGAGTGTGAAACCAAGCTGGCGTTTCTTTAACCTCTTGTTTGTTAACACTTCCTAGAAGGTGAACCTGGGCAGACTGTGGCTCTTCAGGAGAATTACAGTCCAAGGTTTTGGCATGGGCTGCTCTTTTCCAACATGCATGTAAAGAAAAACAAACTCATCCAACTAAAGCTGTTACGTTGCAGACAAACATGACAAATGTGACAACTCATCTCTTCTGGCTCATTTCTGTCATCACTTGTTCTCTGAAGTTGTTTGAATTGTCGCTTTTTGTTGTTTTAAGCTCATTTTACTCTTGTTTGGTTTGTAAAAATTCTGAAAATAGAAATGCTGTTACTATTACCCAGAGCCCAAAGTGACACCTTCACAATGCTTGTTTTATCCAATCAGTCCAAACCTCACAATTATTCAAGCTTATTCATCAAGGTTATTTTATTGTCAGGGGTGAAATTTACAAATAATAATTAAAAAAAACTAATTTGTATGATGCTACGCTGAGGAAGAGTTTAACAGTCTCATGGCCTGAGGGAAGAAGCTGTCTTTAAGTCTGGTGGTACGGCAGAAGAAGCCTCTGTACCTCTTCCCAGATGGCAGCATTTATTTATTATCTAAAAGAAATAAAAACTATTTAAACAATTAAAAACAAAAGCAGAAAATCTTCACCTTTCAGAGGCTGGAACCATGAAATACTAACTAAAATGGTCAGATAAGAAAAAATAAATGCAATATTTCCCTCTGAATTGTAGTGGAGTACAAGTAGAAAGTTGCATGAAAAGAAAATACTCAAGTAGGCTACAAGTACTTCAAATTTGTACTGAAGTAAATGTATTTATTTACATTCCACCACTGAAGGTCAGCGATCTAAAGGTCAGAGAGAGAAAGCGGCTGTGATGCAGAGGTCACTGGGCCTTCATATTTGAATCAGGCAGAAACAACCTTTCTTACAGCTGTGTGTAGGTTAAAGTGTGACCAGGTGAGACGCAGCACAGCAACAAATCACTGCACTTTGACTGAACTGTCTCTGGCTCAGTGACGCCCGTCTGTGGCGCCTCAGAGAGTGTAATGTAACAGGACGCAGCTACTAACGTCCTGTGTGGGCTGATGAAGGTCATCCTGACTGAGAGGAGTGCTGAACAACGACGGGATTATCCCGGCGCTCCGCCCTGCACACTAACCCAAATCTAATCTGACTCTCTCCTCATGCACTCAGCGCTTTTCAACAGCTACCAGACACATCATTTCATTTCACTGCTGAAAGCGCTTCACAATACAACCTCAGTCGATTCAGACCAACTATTTGGTCATTCAGGGAACACCTGAATTGTAGTATTAGAATTGGCATATGTGATATCAGAGCTAAATTATCTTTTTATAAACAAACCAGTTTATTAGAGAGTCTTGCTAAATTTGACTTAAATGAAGGATGAGAAATATATAAAAAGCATACAGACAGACTTAAGCACAAGCAAGGCTGTCGGACACTACAAGCAGAAGAAAATTGGAGTTGCAAATAGTCCAGAGCAGCTGTATGAAGCGTTTTCAAAAGAAAGTGTCAGCTGACAAAAATACAAATCATTTAAAAGCTTAAACATTATTGCAACTCAGTTTTCATTCTCAGCCTGATGCCTTTGTGGCCTTCCATTAGAGCCCCCTCAAAAATCCATCGGCCTGTTTATTATTAAGCTGTGAGGACATTTACCAATGCACTCGGCCATTGTTGATTCCATCACAGACTGCGTCCAGTCAGTCTGTCCCACTTCACTGTTTCTGGGTCGTAATGCAGTCATGATAACTTGTTGGGATTATGGACATGGCCTCTGTCTGTGAGTGACTCACAGATTCAGACTTGGACAAGGTCTGGTAGGGGGGCTATATGAACAGGAGGCTGTGATGTGTCAGGCATCAGCATCTAGAAATCACCCTGGCTAATTGTTTAATTTTATAAATCTGGATTAAACACGAGTATTGCCCAATCTCGTACTATGGAGTTTGTGCAGGGCTGGGGGAAGGGAAGGGAGGGACAGATGGGACTGACACATGGTCCCTGTCGACCTCCTCCTTCTCCTCACCCCCTCCTCCCCTCACAGACTCTCTGCCTAATCTGACCGGGTAGGACAGGGGGAGGATGGGGGAGGGCACCGGGCATTCGCCACCACCTCTCCCTCTTTTCTGGCAGCACCCAACGCAGCCACAGAGCCAAAGCACGCAGGATATGGGCAAAAAAACAACTTATTCCCCAGTGAGGCTGGACTGAGAGCAGCTGAACCGGTGCTCATGCTGAGGCTCTCGGCTGCAGGGAGCCCAGCCGGACTAGATTTACCACTAATCCAGAATAAGGAGCGTGTAGGGACAACCTGCTGGACTTTGTGGTTTTACTTTTTCTTTTCATTTTCTGACAGGCCAGTTAGAGGGAGTTGTGTTCTGGCCTCTTTGAGGATGTGAGGATGCCATCTTTGCACGCACGCTGAGAGAACCTGTTCGTGCTGGAAGTTCATGGCCAAATGTAGGGTTGCGGTGGCCGATGAGAAGCAGTTTAGTGGCACAATGTCGGCCACTCAGGGGATGAACCACAGCGGCGTCTACAACTACTTCCTCAACATGGTGGCCTATCAGGTGAGAGCTGATGAGCAGCAGCAGCGCAGGAGGCAGTGACTGCAGCTGGAGATTGTAGGGTTCGTTCAGTGTCAGCTTGGTATTGATTGTAAGACAAAAGTGCACTTTTCTTATTAGGTTGATCCGATATTAACTGGAGCTGAATTTATTAATAACAATACTGGTAGAGGGAATCTGTGTATATTTAGTGTTGGGAGTATTCAGATCTTTTATTGAAGTTAAAGTATCAATACCACAATGTAAAAATACTCCATAACAAGCACATGTCCTGCATCAGAAAAATATACCTAAAGTATCAAAAAGTTCAAACACTTCAGTGACATAATACATATTATATTATTGGATTATTACCACTAATGCATTAAGCATTTTAATGTTGTAGCTGTGTCGATGTGAAGCTATTTCCAGGTGCTGTGCTGTCCAGAACAATAGGTTGAACAGTTTAAAGTACAGTCTGGAAGTTAAATCTATAAAATATTTCATAAACTGATAGACTTTGTATGAAACATCAGAATTTTCAATAGTAACTATAGCTGTAAAATAAGTGTAGTGGAGTGTAAAGTACAATATTTCTCTCTGACTTGCGGTAGAGCAGAAGTATAAAGTAGCATAAAATGGATGTATAATGTTCCACCACTGTATCAATCACTGGCAAAGGTTAATTTCTGTCCTGGTGATTTTCATGTTTTAACTTCCACTGAAGGACTCCGTAGTTTGGTGAAAACATCTGGAACAGCTGTAACTGTAAATTCTGTCTTTATGAAGCTTATAATATTCTTTTTGTTGTTGAAGCTGTGTCAGAGAGACGTTCATGTCAGGTTTACTGGGGTCTTTTGGTGTCGTCGATGATATTGTCAGGTGTTCCTGTTTCGCGTCTCTATGGTTTGGTCTATGGAAAGTGTATCATTCACATATTTTATCAAATGTGTTAACAACTGATTATGACTGAGAAAGGATAAGTCTCTTCTCAGTATCTAGAATCAAGTAAATTGCCCAAAGCTACAAAAAGAGAAAATCTAATGTCAGAATCTGCAATGTCAAGATGTGAAAGAAAGTACCATCAACTCTGAGAAAGAAAATATAACTCCATAGGAAATGTATTTCTGCACAACGTTTTACCTCTTGGTTTGTCGGGAAGCAAGTTCACCAGCACTCAGAAATGATGATTTTTCATTGACAGTTGGTTGGAGCTCCTGATTGGAGAGTTGTTTGTCCACAGAGTTTGGTTCTGGGGTAGTTAGTCGAAAGTTACTTTTAAGTAATTTCAATGATTGTGAACTGATGAAAAAGCGCAGACCTCCGCCAAGGTGTTTTCTTTCTACAGTGATGTTTGAGGTCACAACACACCATTCACTTGTGGTGCAACAAATTCAAATTGATGTTGCCATCGACAATCTCGCAATGTTAATGAAAGGGAAAAATGATTTGTGTTAAGGGGTTCTTCCTTGGCCTATGCCACACTGTTCCACCATGTAGCAACCGATAATGTAATAATGGCCAATAATGTAATAATTTTGGCCATTTTAAATGTAATAAAGCCAATAACGTAATAACTTGCCAATAATGTAATAACGTTTTTGAGCCAATAAGGTAATAACATTTTGCCAATAATGTAATAAGTTATCACGTCATTGGCTGGTTATTACGTTATTGGCACAGCATTAAAAAAATCCTTTGAAATGTAATAACTGCAGCCGATAATGTAATAATACGTAAATAGGACTGCATTTCTTGGAAATAAAATATTTTTTTGTAGTTTTTGTGCAGTTTGCTCATCAAAAATAGATATAGTGGATGGCATAGTCGTCATATTCATTCATCAAGGGTATGTATTATGCAGCACTCTCTCTCCTTAAATATGGTTGTAAGCTTACCCTTGATGAATGAATATGACGACTTTGCCTGTAGTTTTTCCATAATCCTGCTGACAAACAAACAAACAAACAAATGGCGCTGAAAATCTAACCTCCTTGGAAAGCAAACATGCTCAAACAGGAAGAAGTGGTTCATTTATTTGGGAACTATTTTCAGCCGCGGATTAATCCACATTTGGTGCTCTTGTGAGTATTTGGGGCAGCAGGCTGTTGTCACCCGGTGCTGCAATGGAGCTCTCTGGCTCAGATCATGGTTAACATTGTATCTGTTAAACATTAACATGTTAACATTGTCACTGTGAACATGTTTGCATTCTGATGTTGGCATTTAACTTCAACACTGCTTCGTCTACAGCACGTGCACGACCCACTAGAACGACCCTACAGCCATTACACTAACACTAACTAGAACCAGTTCATTGCTGGTTTTAGTCTTCCATGAGATTTGTTGACAAATGCAGAATATTGGTAGTCGTATCTTTAACGTCAAAGCTATGTATCTTTTGATAGATGAACTTATATTTGTATTTGTTACACTACATTTTAAAATATCTTGGATGAACCTTTTAATGGTGCTATCACAAAAGTAAAACAAGAAGCAAACAAACCATACCTCTGTGGGAAACCTGCTCACGGCCCCATTCCTCTCAGTCAGGTTACCTAATGATGATGTCTTTATAGTAACTCACTGAAGAGAATCATGGGAAATTAAGGGACATTTATGTGCTGTTATTGTGTAATTTACCACCTGTGGCCACAGGGGTCACTGATCTGCAAAGGTTTTTACAAAGCGTCAGGTGTGAATGAATTCACCTGATGCAAACAGTTGATCATAATAAGCAGATATACTTTATATGTATATATATCAGTGACTCTTTTCATGGCCTTGACTGACCACCATTTGTTTGTTGTAAAATATATATATTTATGTTCCTTTAAAATATACATACAAACAAAATATAAGTGACCTAATTAGCTGTCACATTGGGTGCAGTATAACATGGTGGCAGGTTGAGGATTTCAGTTTATTTGCATGTAGAAAAAATCTGAATCAGTATTAAACATTATTCACCAGGTAGGAAGGAATTTCTTTTGCTACAGGTGTCAATACAATAAAATAAAATAAACAGAATTGAATAAATTAAGATAAATTACACTAAAAATAATTTAGCAAAATAGTCAATAATATTGATAATATTAGATGCATAAGAAATATGCAGATAAAGTAAAGAATAAATAATAATAAAATAAAAGTTATGTTTTAAATGTGTAAACAAAGTAAGGAAAGAAAGCATAAAAAAAGTTTTAAAACAGAGGTTACATTCATTTATATATATATATATATATATATATATGTATTATGTGAGGCTGACAGGAAGATAGATTTCCAGTAGTAATTTAAAAAATGACCTCTGCTTGTTATATAAGTAACATTCACTTAGTTCACCAGCATTTATATACACTGGACTTCCTGTTTCAACCTAAATCAATTTAATGACTACTGAAATCAATAACTAAAACATTATTCAACTAGATTGATATGCACACAGTCACTGCTGTATATGAAGAAAGGTTCATGTGGATCAGTGGTGCATTAAGAATATGATTCATGGATTAGTTGTCAGATTAGCTTCTTGGAAAGATCCAGGAGATCCTCTAATCATCTACAAACAACTCAAGTGTGTCCGTGTCTATGGAAAATACAGATGACCTTAACATTCCTGATTTGAAAAGGCAGCCTGATGCATTTTTCCGAACTTGCCCAGTTTGATTTAAGACTAGTTAGAGTTAAAAAAAAAGATGGATGCTCTGCTTATTTGATTGATTTTTCCACAAATCAAACAGTACCTATTTAGTCTAGCTTTTAATGTTTTTAATGGATGTTTTAATGCATGAAGCACTTTGTGTTACATTTTGCTTGTATGAAAAGTGCCATGCACATAAAGTCAGACTGATTGATCGAGTATATATAGGCCAAACAACATATTGCTTTTTGACCTATATATACACTGTATGACCCACTATATCATATTTTTTTCATCACAGTGATTACATTGTGTTTATAGCCGATTTGAGCCCCCTTGCTCACTGCAACAACTTCACTCTGTGACTATTAATCCTGTATTATGAACCTTAAACTAGGCCAGAGGACAGAGGAGTGCAGTGGTTGAGGCGGTTATAAACACCTGGTTGCATTGCAGATTCTGACATTTTCCCTTTAGTTGTGGTACTGTGTCAGCACAGCACCAATATTCAGCACAGAACCGGATTTGTTCAGTCTGCAGAAAGAAAATATTACTTAACAAAATAGAAAATCCAATTATTGATGACCTCTGAGTGCACATTCAGCCACAGGGTCTATAAATGGGAGCTTAGTAAAATAAAAGGAAAATGATTAAGGACTTCTGGATTAAGGAGGGAATCTTTAAATCAGTGATTTGTTTTAGGTTGCAAAAATACAAATTAAGCACTGGTGCATCCAACAAAATCTCATGTATTTAATCTGTTTCTAAGTCCTGCATGGTGCATGACGGCGGCGCCTTTTCAATTCAGAAAGTAGGTTATTTTCTGAATCGTGAGGTGATTTGGGGTTGTGACGATATCTGCGGCCAGCAGAAACTTTCCTTCTCTTAGCTGTGACAAACAGCATAGACAGAGAGCAGATAATAAATAATAAAACTATATTCAAAAGGACAGTTTTATTAACAGTGTTACAAAGTGCATGAACAGAGCAAACAAAAACAGCAGAGGCAAATGGAAGTATAATCAAGACATACAACACAAGGAGCAAAGCTATAAAATGGCAAGATAACATTAAAACCAGAAGAAACATAGTGAGTAACAAGTAAATATAAAGCTAGTCAAAGATAAAGAGGAAAGGTCACAGGGTTACCACACAGATCATGTTTTTTCTTCTTGGGGTCAAAAACAGTGCAGCAGCGAGAGCAGCCAAAAACTCAAACAGACCCTTCAATCACGTTTCATCTGTTACAGGATCAAATCATTTTTGAGCTACTGTACACGATTGAAGCACTTTTTTTATTTTAGTCTTCCCTTCAATGGGAAGATGCTGGATAATCGTCTCTGCATCATCCATCAGATTATATGACTTACACGTAATGGGTAATAATATATCTGAATTCACTGCACCAGCATTCAGTGCCAGCATTCATGTAGACAGTGCAGAATGGAGACTGGAGTTCTATACTGTACAAAATCTATATATTTGTCCAAGAGGAATTTTTACTTTGCATCTTGCTTCATGTGACTAATTCCCAAATATTAAAAATCTGAGTATTTCACAGTGCAAAGCAGAAAAATACCACAATTTTCCTCTCCCTTACAATCTGCACAGCTTGCTGATGCATCAGACAGATGTGCGTGCAGGTTTTGCCTCCTTAGATTTAGTTCAGGATCAGTGATGATGGGCTTACGTCCAGTTGTCCACAGCCCTGGTTTTTTAGAATCAGAACCGGCCAGATGCTGTTGGACTCATTAAATTAATCTGCAACCAACAGCCCGCTGCCAAACTCTCTGTCAGTGTCTGAAACACTGACCTCCAAAAGTCTTCAGACAGTTTGAAATCTAGCACACAGTGCCTCTACAAATGTTTTTATGATGTTTGAGTATTAGTATAGTCTGAAACCTATTTTTTAGATGCATAGTGCAGGTGACTGGTTAGAATTTATTAGTTTTTTAATTATTTGATAGTCAACAGTGCAGAGAGTTCATAAACACGGGAAGAGAGAGAGACGACATGCAACAAAAGGTCCCTGGCATTATCGTCCCATCACATTATTTAAAAACTGTCCCAAATTTATTGTAGAAACTGAGATTTCCATTTCTTTTGTGATTATTTGGCAGATCTAAAACCCTCAATCAACAGTGAAATGTTCTTGTCATATTAAAACTTCAAATTAAATTACTTTTCTGTACAGTACTTTGTAACCTTGTTAAGAAAAATGCTGTATAAACTGTGTGCTGTGTCTGTGCGGATGCTGACCCGCCTCCATCCTCTCCTCCTCAGATATGCTGTTGCTGTGGACCGGCTCCCTGTTCGCTCTGCTGTGCCTTCTGTCCGCCGGTCAAATCCTCCACCAGCACTCGGGTCATGTACACACTCTTCCACATCATGAGCTGCGCCGTGTCCTGCCTCATGCTGTCCCGCACCGTCTCTGAGCTCGTCAGGGAAAATGTGAGTACTGGATCTCATCCTCCCAGATTGGTCAACAAAACATGACCACAAACCAACTGAAATATGACCATAACAACCAGCAATCAACTGGCAACAGAACAAGAGAACTGTGTAATCCTTCTGTACAATAGTCTTGATACAAATAACTTACTGTAAAAGCGGGGGTAGCAGGAAGCTGAAAACTGTGATGAGGCCCCAAAAGTTCAGCTGTGCAGTCCTTATATTCCCCAAGATGAGCTGTGATTGGCTGCAGGTCAATCGATAGATCCGACAATAGAAAGGAGAGAACGACAAACAGCTGAGGCACATTTAATAGTTAACAGAGAAAATACAAATGCAGTCAGAAACAAAGAAATGAAATGAAATACTTAAGAATCGTGATATTCTATGACACAAGTTACTGTACCTTGACCTTTGGACTTTATTGAGTGCAGTTGTGGGTACATACATAAAACCTATTTCTGCTTTGGGGGTATTTAATTTGGGGTATTTGTACTTTACTTATTTTTCTATTTTATGCTACTTTATACTTCTACTTCACCACATTTCAGGGGCAATTATGATATGTTTGCGTCGCTACATTTATTTGGACAGCTGTAGTTATAAGTCACTTTACAGATTCAGATTAGTAATACAAAATGTAATCAAAAGATTCATTATAATTATTATAGCGATACATTAAAAATCAGGGGCACAATTTAGTGAAACACATAAATACTGCCTGAAACTGTTGACATGTTCATGTGATTTAAAAGAGAAAAAAAGAACCATGTCTCCTTGTCCTTTGCTTGGAGTTTGGAGAATGGTAATTAAAGTTTGTGAATGGTGACATTCTCATTCAGGTAATTTTCTAAAGGTTTTTGATTTTACTAAAGATGGATAAAGATCTATAAAAAAGGACATATAAATTTTTTAACCTATTAGAAAATCTTCTCCCAAACAGAGAGACACATATGGAGTGTGTAGATAATACATGGTGTGTGTGTTTGTGTGTGTGCTCCAGGTGCCTTTCTTTAACATGGTGTGTGACCAGGCGCATGGCGGAGGCCACTGTGAGATGCTTGTGGGCTACTCGGCAGTGTACAGAGTCTGCTTTGGCACTTCCTGTTTCTACCTGATGATGGCGATCTTCCTCATAGACGTGAAATCCAGTCAGGACTTCAGAGCGCTCATACACAACGGGTCAGTTTACCTCATCAGACGTCTCCCTCCTAAACCAAGGCTCGATGATTTTTCATTACACATCATCCAGACAAACACTAGAAAATGAATTCTGTTTCAGACAAAATAGTTCATGAATGCAACACAAACTGAAATCCAGGACGTCTGTACGTGCACATGAACACAGCAGGACTAAAAAACAACAACAAATATTCAATTACATATATTCTGGCATCATTAAAGTGTCCACCACATTTTTTAGACCAATTTGTAAGGTTTTTTTAAATCCTGCTCCTGATTAGAAAGAAAAAAAGGCTGACAGCATTGCCTCCTTCCAGCTTCTCTGGACACCTGAAATAACCAAATTTACCACAAAAGAATCAATATTAACCACAAAACTGAGGAAACCTTCACACATTAATCCTCACACACATTCACGCAATCTCCCTGCCCTAAATATCCTAAATGAAGCTTTGAAGCTTTGAAGGACAAACAAACAACTCGGTTACAAAGACCTTTATGTCATTTCCCTGAATCCAAATATTTAGAACGGACCTGATCCAATCCACAAATGTTTACACGCCTCTCTTGAAATACACACATCTTTAAATACTTCTTCATTACAGTCAGTGTGTTTTCATCCTTCACTCACCTGACCTGGCCTTGTTGGTCTATTATAATCTCTTTATTGTTACACTTTCCATTGCAGTGCAGTAGATTAGAGCGGTGACGTAGCTCAGATTAGGATTTGACAGACTGGATTGCTGGTCCTCGCTGGTATAAATCTACTCACAAGAGTCTTATCGGTGCCGCAGTGAAAGGCTTCAGAGTCTTTGGCAAAGGTTACAGCTCTTAGTAGTGGTCTTAGTTTGTGGTCTGGTGGGGGTCAGGGAGTGACCCAGTGCCCTCCTGAAATCTTGTTTGTCCTCTTAAAGACCAGACAGTCACATGCAGATGGACATGGACATGACACTAGGGATGCTGTCATGCTCAAACTTGGTCACTCCATTTGAGGGAAGTTTAATTATTGAAATATATTTATATATACTGAAAATATTTGGTCCAGTGTTGTCACTGACATCAGAATCAGGTTTAATGCCAAGTAGGTTTTCACATACATATAATTTGCCTTGGTAAGATGGTGCATACCAATTACAAAACATTTTTTATAATTTATAATTAAACATAAAAAGTTGAGACAATCAAAGGAGCCAATATATACAAATATAAAAAGACAATATGTAAAATATGGCCAGATACTTTATTTATTACCCACAGCGTTATGTGTATGGAAAGAACAAGCAGAATAAAGGAAAATAAAGAAAAATGTAACACAGAAGTTGCTAAATTAATGGAAATTACAAAAACAGAGAGCATGTCGGTTTAAGTTTCCGTCCTCAGATTTAAACTTGTAACTGTGTTTCTCTGTGTTGTCTGTCCTCTCTCGACAGTTTCTGGTTCCTGAAGTTCATCACGCTGCTCGCGATGTGCACTGCTGCCTTCTTCATCCCAACAGAGTCCTTCCTGCATGGTGAGAGACTGTTTCCTGTCAGTCTGCAGAGATTCATCTGAGAATAAATCCAGACAGAGAATAAATGTGACGGCGATGGTGTTACTGCACCTCTGTCCGGCTCATGCTAGATGGCAGCAGAGACCCGCCCCTGAAAACACTTCAGGTTGACTCACTGCTGTGTTATTGGACCATAAATCTCTGTAGCTTCATTTCATTTTGTTTGGGAACAATAAATCTGATAGTGATACAAGCCTGATAACAGAGCAGGTTTATTATTTACAGCTTGCTCTCTTGCCATCTTTCTCCTTGTTTGCTTCCCTGAAATAAATCAACTTATGGTTCTTGTTTTTCTCTCCCATTCTCCCTCTCTCAGCGTGGCATTATGTTGGTGTGGTGGGAGGATTTGCCTTCATCCTCATCCAACTCATCCTCATCACAGCTTTTGCACACACATGGAACAAGAACTGGTGAGTGAGAGGGACATACAAGTAAAAAAAATATGATATCATGGTATTGTATTGTGCTAGGGATATAAATCAAGACACAGGAAATTTCAGAAAATTGTAGTAAAGTAAAACCTATAACTATAACCATATGTGAGTTATATGACCAAAGGTAAGTGGACACACCTGTCCAGATATTTTTGTACACTTTTGTTACTGAGCTGTTTTGGTCTAGGCTAGGTAGTTCCAGTTGAAGTCCCCTTCCACACAAAAAATCAGTTTTTCTTCTTGTCCCTACAGTGTGCTGTTTGAATGATGTCTGTACATAGTTTGACATTAGAAGGATGTTTTCACATTCATATGCTGAAAGTGAAAAGTTTCTCTGAGCTCATTCATTCATCTACTGGACCAGGTTGCAACTTATACAAGTGAGATGTAGAAACATGAAGTCACCAGTGCACATATAATGAGAATCGACCACAGTGAAGTAGGAGACATCTTGTGTCCAGCAGGACAAAACTTTAGAAATGATCAAGTCTGGAATTTATAATGAGGTAGAAGAAGTAAATGCCTTTTTAAGGATTTTAATGTGGAAATTATTATTATAATTATTATTTGGCAGAAAAAAAAACCTATGAGACACACATCATGTTCCAAGTAGACTATTGTATATGTCTTATCACATGTCTGGAGGGGATCTTACAGCAGAACATTGTTGTCTCAAATGTCCCTGACTGTGACATCTGAGACAACGATGTTCTTCCAGCTCTGTTTCTTGTTTTAACTTGTCAGTGCCCCTGTGCACAAAATGAGCTCCATAAAGAAATGGTTTTCACAGTTTGGTGTGAAAGACCTCAACCCCATCCAACACCTCTGGGAGGAACAGGAACACCGACTGTGAGTCAGACCTTATCACCCAGCATCAGTGTTGGACCTCATTAATGCTCTTTTGGCTGAATGGGAGCAAATCCCTGCAGCCAGGTCCCAACATCTGGTGGAAATCCTGACACCAGAAGAATGGAGGCTGTTGTTGCAGCAGATTAATGCTCACAGTTTGGGAATAACAGCTTTCATAATCATATATGGGTGTAATGTTTAGGTTTCCACATAGTTCTGGCCCTTATGTTGCCCCTGACTTCATCACATTGATGCAAAAATCCTTTAAATCCGATATTGTCATAAAGCAGTCTTTCCCATAAAACTTTACCTTGCTCACAATAATCCAAGATAAAATCCTAAGAGTGAGCTACTGGATACCTAAGTTATTAAAACAAAAAAGAGAAACTCTTAGGTTAACCTAGAAATATGTAACTAATGATGAAGTGGACATTGTTTTATTTTAAGAGGTCAGAAGCCAAAAAGAATAAAAAAAAATCCCTGGTCTAAAACAACTGGAGATAATAAAGGAAAAGTGCAGCTAAGTGATTCAGAAGTTTGAGGAGAAGGATTTGTGTTGTGTTGGCCAAAGAGGTTTAGTGTAAAGTTCATACAGTGCACATACAGTGAGCATTCAGATTGACGCTCTCCACTGAAAACCATTAGGGTTTTTTCTAAAAAATTTGATTAAAAAAGTAAATAAAAAGAAAAAAAAATTCCTTTACAGGTTTAGAGAATTATCCTTCTTAGACTATATAAACCACTGGAGTTGGATTTATGGGTTGGAGTGCCAGCTATGAACTATGACATCCAGAATTTGTTCTGTCGTCTCTTTAATGTACGCTGTCAAATTAAAAAAGAATTTATCTGAAAAACAAAACAGAGCGTCTGGTGAACAGTTTATACGTGGTCCTCACAGAACAATAACAATATGTTATTTAAGGTCTCTGTTACATACATACTGTACACACAGACTCCAGCCTGGTTCACATCTGGAGAAGAGCCTGTCTCCTACACTGGTGATGATGGATTCATCTTCTGTCCAGCAGAACTGAACTGACTTCAGCCACATCTGTCCTGTCAGTCCCAACATCTGGAACTTTGTTTCTGTTTCATTTACTTTTTCTAGTTTGTAGTTTTATTTTTGTTTGCTCGGTTGCAGTTTTACTTGTTGGTACCCGGTGGTTTTTATTTTACAGCCATTCTTTCCTTCATTCTTATTTTTTATTCCCTTCAGCCACAGACACTTTAAAGAAGGAATTGATCATTTATAGTAAATACAATACAATCTAATTTGGCAACACTCAAAGAATGTTAGAAAAAATTTAGAAAATGGTGAAAACACTCATTACAATTTACCACAGCCACAGCCATGTTCAGTTTATTGTCACAAATGACAAGAAAAAGCTGAAAATCCTCACATTCGAAAAGCTGGAACCAGCAAATGTTTGCCTAAAAGGTGACAATTACTTGTCAAAATAGTTGCTGATAAATTTTCTGAGCTAATAACCTTTTTATAAAAGTCAACAGTACCTTGCGATGTTGGTATCAGCAGAGGAATTGTGAGACGTGGCAGGTTAAATGGATATGATTGGATGTTCCCAGTCAGCTGGAATCATGAATGATACAGCCGATGCCGATCACCTGACGCCAGCGTGCCTTCAGTGCTCTGCCTGAGCTAATGCTGCGCTCCATTCGGTTCTTTTATTGCTTGCTATGTTGCTCATCTGTACTTTACTTTTTTTATTGTTTTGTTTGTTTGTGTGCTTGTTTGTTTTTACATTTGTTTACTTGTTGATATTTGTTCCTCTCTCTGTGACTTCTCTGTCATGTTCTCCTTCACTCAGCCAGACTTGTCCCCTGACAGCCAGATGTTATTTACAGCATCCAGCTGTTGCTGTTGTGCCATCAGTCTCTCTCAGCCACCTCTGAACTCTGCTGTGACATGGCAGAGCTGTAGCAACAACAACTAAGAGGATTTATTCATTCAGGACCTTTTCCAAAGCAAACGCACACGGCTAAAAATCCTCTTATCCCCTCCCTACGGTGACAGAGACGACACAATGTTCCTTTATGTCTATACAAATATTTGTCTCATTATCTCCTGTATCAACTTCAGTGCTGTCTTTTAGATGCAATAAGTAACTGCACATGTTGAGATCACTGTCAGTGAGAAAAATAAAGACAATACTCAACTTTTACACGTGCACAACTGGAATATGCTGCATGGGTTGTTTAGCTGTTATAACATTAGGCTATATACATGTTATAACAAGTGTGGTGCATTTGAAAATATCTGACTTTGATGCCTCATAGCAACCCATTACCTGACCCAGGAACACATAGACTGCACCAGTTTTCTGCAAACACACGCTTATGCCATCAGAATAGTTTGAAAGATGCTTTAATTGCTAAATATTTTGTGGCTTTAAGATGCAATTAGGCTGCTTGAATTCTCATTTTGGAATGAAGCAGTATCAAGGCATACGTGTGCCTGATTATTTCTAAGTGTAGTAATTCATAAAAAAGAAAACTAGGAAAATGCTCAAAAACCAAAAACAAACAATAATAAAAGCATGATCCCTTTGGTGGAAATAACTTTATTCTTAAACCCAAGGTGTGTTTCTCTGTGACATGCAGTATCTAAGCAGAGTTAAAGATCCCTTCCAGACATTTATTAATAAATATTTACTAATAGTCTGCTTGGATTAATATTGTGTCTGATATGATTTTTCTGCAAAAAAATATAATTTCCATTTTAGAATTATTTAAAAAAGGCATCCACCCCTTCTACCTCATTAAAATCTCCAGAATCTATGAATATGTAAAGGTTTTCCTGCTGGACACAAGATGTCTTCTACTTCACTGTAAAGTCCATTCTCAGTGTTGGTGGCTTCAAGTTTCTACATCACACTGTATAAGTTGCATACTGGACCAGGATTGGCTTAAAAAATAGTTATGATGTCACAAATCCTGCTCGTAGGCCCCACCCCTTAAAATCAGATTTTCCATGAGCTCAGAGAACATCCTTCTAGTGTCAAACTCTGCACACACATCATTCTGCACAGTGAAGTTCAAACATCCAACTGTAGGAACAAGAAGAGAAACTTTTCAGTGGAGGGGGGCTTTAATATCTCTGCAGGATGGATATGAAGCTGAAACTCTTCTGTGCCCCCCTTAAGGTTGACCGGAGCAGCAGAGAACAAGCGTTGGTATCTGGCAGTGATGTGCGCCACCCTCTTCTTCTACACTATCGCCACCATGGCCTTCACCTTCATGTACAAGTACTACACACATCCCATCGCCTGCCACTTCAACAAGGCCCTGCTGTGGACCAACCTGGGACTCTGCGGCCTCATGTCCTTCATTGCAGTCACGCCGTGCGTGAAGCAGAGTGAGTTGATGAAACATGCTCACATGTCTGTCATCGATTCTCAGCAGTGAAATAACACTTAGTCCATCTCTAGCTCTGCAAACATCCTCCTGTTGAAACCAGTGCTGCTGCAGATAATAATAATTAGACATAAGCTAATATTATCTCTTTGTCCCTTTAAAAACCAAACGCTGACTCCAGGTCTGCGTTGTCGGTACATGTCTGGGTTTTATGATTGAAACATACAGCTGTTTATAGTAACTGAGTATTTATTGAAGTGTTTTTAAGTATAGGCTGAGGTATTGATACCTTTTACACCACCATATTTACCTAATGGCCAATGGTACTAGTTACTTTGTAGAAGATTTTGTTGTTGGGCAAAAATCTTTTTTCTTTTCAGGAGCAAATCCATTTCAGCTTGATGATACATAACTTAAATATGAGCTTCAAAGTTAATCTTGACCTTGGGAGCAGCAGTTGAGAAAACAATCTCACTACCAGATCATTTAGGAGCTTGTCTGGAGCTTTTGATTGTATCACATGATCTTCACCAGCAGATGGATTTTGTCCAGTTGTTGTAGAACTATATTTAAAAGATGATGTAAAGAGTTTTAGACACATTTCTCTACCTGTAGAGGAGCTTCAGTTGATCCAAAAATACCTTATAGGCTGAAAAATATCTCCAAATTTGGGGCATTTTTTACTGCTAATTCCTTAAAAGATGTTGTTTTTACCAATTTACAATGAAAATGACATAGATTTTACGATCCAGATCTTTTTACACTGATTTTTTCCCAATTTATTTCATAATCTTTCTCCTGACCTGACTTTCTCCCTCTCTCCGTCTCTGCAGAGCAGCCTCGGTCGGGACTCCTTCAAGCCTCCATCATCAGCTGTTACGTCATGTACCTCACTTTCTCTGCACTTTCCAGCCGCCCGCCAGAGAAAGGTACGCTAACCGAGCAGACACAGAGCAGAAGCACAGTGGCAGATCCCCGCAGTTCCACTTGGATGCTGAACACTGTGTGTCTGTCCAGTGTTAACACTGACACAGAAACCTCTAACATGAACAAACCTTCAAGGGGTATTCAAGGTTATTTTGTATATTTCAATTAAAAGAGAAACATATGGTAGAGGACATTAAAGGAAGAATCTCCTATACATGCAGTCCACTTCCCCTTTTCTGCTGACATACACAAAAATCTGTTCGGACATGTGAATACGGGGTTAGACTTGAAAACATCCGAACCTTGCCTTTATTTTCACCACTAGATAAAACCCTCTTATTGTGAAATTTATCTAAATTAGTTTGGCTGTGCCCCATCATCCCGTGCCACTTAGACTTAATAGTGAAGAGCCCACACACACTCTCAAGGTAAAATCCTCCATAATATGTCTTTACCTTTCTCATAATGACTCACCTGTTGGCTCCAGGTAAGACAAAGAGCCTCCACATGACTGAGACATTAGTGCTGAGGCTTGTCAGAGGCCCCTGTCTTATCCGGGGTTTACATCTTAATGGCACACATGCAAATATAGACGTACATACACACACACACACACACACACACACACACACACACACACACACACACACACACACACACACAGATAATCTGGGATGAGATGTGCTCTGACATGCTGCCTGCTGGGCTGGTGGCCTGTGGTGAGGGCAGACTGAAGGATATTTGTTTCACATTCCTCATGGATCCATTGACAACATAATAACACAGGAATACAGCCTGGAAGCATCATTACATATGTTTTCACATAGCTCGCCTTGTTGAAGAGATAAAGTGCAATACCCTGTTTAGATCTGCCAGCAAAGAGCGATTTATCGGTCAGTTTTATACCGCTGAGGAAAGGTCGGATAACACACAAGATTAAAAGAAAAACAAAGTTTAAAAAAGAACACTGTGTATTGTTGGTTGTGTTTTTTCCGGCCAAACATGGATTGTTTTGGCATGGGCAGATATTTCCACCTGCTACAGAACAGAAGTTTCTGACATGTAAAATATCAACAGTAATTGATTCCTCAGGTGCTGGTGCTTCCACACCAAAGTGTGTAATCCAATCCACTGGAGGATACTGTGTCAGTGTCATGTTTTGCCTCACCTAGACGTCAAAAGTACACAAATGTATGAAGGACAAAGAGCGACAAAGTCCGCATAGGAAGGACGCGGGGTGGTTAACTTACGTAACGTTCTGAAGTTTAGTATTTATCTGCATTTAATCAAACATACAATATGTGTGTTTGCAACATACCGAGTAAAATGATAGATATGGAAGACAACAGGAGTGTTCTGAGACGTTTCTATAGACATTTTGATCCTTTTTACAGCATGAAACTATTGTTGTTTGAATCCTCTGTAAACGCTGTGAATCTAAGCTAACTAAAGTTGTTAAAGTTAGTTTTCAGAGCCACCTTACAAGCCTACAAAGGATGAATGCTCTCAACTCCACGTGTAGGTTTTCAGTGGAGAATTCCTTTAACGCCTCTCTGGTCCTATTAAATCTAGAAAGTTATTGATTGACTCTGCTTACTGATTCCCTTTGTATCCAACTTGTTGTTGTCCGCAGAGACATAGTGTATGTGTGAGTGTACAGTATGAGTGTGTACAGTAGGTGTGTGTGTGTGATTGTCCCGGGGCAGTGCAGGACATTGTAGCAACTTGTTGAGAAAATATGCACTCAGAGTCTGTTATAAAAACACCTTTTCACCACAGACTGTGAACCGCACACACACACACACACACACACACACACACACACACACACACACACACACACACACTTAACACACTCTGTAATATTTAATTTCCACCTACAATTGCTGAGTTTCCTTTTTCAGCTGCTTTAATTCAGGGGTTCGTCACCTGTCATGGTAACGTCTCCAGGGGGATGTGCGTGTGTGTGTGTGCATGTGTGTGTGTGTGTGTGCGTGTGTGTGTGTGTGCGTGTGTGTATGTGTGTGTGTGTGCGTTAGACAAAGAAATCCATCCTCGTTACTGTCTTCTTAGGTCTTTGTTTGCCTAGTCTGTCCCCGGAAGGCTTATTCTGCTCTATGACCTCACCATGACAAAACACACACACACACACACACACACACACACAGAGAGAGAGAGAGAGAGAGTAATCCTTATGTTTCTGAGAGGAAGAATTAGTCTGGAGTGCAATTGAAAAGACAACTCAAAGAGCAGAACATGTTCTCTCTCCCTTAACGACTCTTGACCCAAGTGTGTGTGTGTGTGTGTGTGTGTGTGTGTGTGTGTGTGTGTGTGTGTGTGTGTATAATTCAATCTGAGTCCTGTAATTAGCCACTGTTTTCATTGAGCTCAGGTTCCTTTTTCCCTCCACGACACACAAACACAAAACTTCTCTCAGGAATCTACAGCCGGCTGAAACGACCCTTTGGAGGCTGGGCTGATTTCTGTGTGAGTGTGTTTGGGAGGTTGAGCTGTGTGCACATGCATGTGCATGTGTGAGCATACAGTACATATTTGTGAGTGCTCTGTGAGTGTCCAGAGGGTGAGTCTATAAGAGAGAGTCCCAGAAGGGAAAGTGCAGCTGAGACCCCTTTTACAAGAAAGAAAGGAATTTCCCAGGAAATGAAACGAAGAGAAAAAAATGAAGAAATGAAGAAAGTGACACAACACTTGACCTGCATGTGGTACCTTCTCTCGTCAGGGGGCAGTAAACTGACTGCTATGGGAAAAAAGTGTAGAACAAGATTAATGCCAGAAGAGACTTAATTCAGATTGCAGATATACATTTCTCACTCTAGGGGCCACCCATGGGGTGGGGGTTAAGAGGCTGACCATAAACCACGATGTATCTGGTTTGAATCCAGCTGGGGACCCATGCATCTCTCTCTTTCTTTCTTTTCCTGTCGTCTCTCCACTGTTGCTATCTAATAATACAGACACAAAATGACACCCCTAAAACCATTGATTTTATTTATTAATCTTTAATGCGATGGTTACAGAATGTAATTTGTTGTCTCACAGGTTTAAGTTTTGAGTTTTAAGTTGAAATGATGTCTGACTTTTAAAAAACAGCGTATAATATAAAAATATTAAATGAAATAATATATTTGATGTCATGTTTTTAAATTTATGAGGCTGGTCTTGTACATTTCTTGAGTCAATCAAATATAATATATAATAGGTCTTATTTCAAATCAAAGAGTAATATGGACTGTGTATCTATTTGTGTTTTACGTATTCTGCTGGTTTTGAATGTCTAATACAGTAATGAAACTTAACATGCTGTGTTTTTCTCTGTGTCAGTGGTGTATCAGGGCATGAACATGACCGTCTGTTACCCCAGTGTGGGACAAGATGGCATCCAGAATGAAGGCAATGCTGTGGCTATAATTGGAGCTGCCATCATGTACTGCTGTGTCCTCTTTGCATGGTGAGTAGATTTTGCACCTAAGAGTGCAATAACAAAAATACTGGTACTTTAATATCTCTGAAAGGAGGCATTATGTGGGGACAAATGTGTTGAAATAAATTTTTTTCCCCAGTAATGAAGCTTCCTACCTGGCAGAAGTGTTCGGCCCGTTTTGGATGATCAAAGTTTACCGCTATGAGTTCCAGAAAGCCACCTGCTGCTTCTGCTGCCCCGAGGAAGAGGAAGGTTTGTACTAATGCACTTAACAGAACATTTAGAATTTCTTTCTTACAAAATTACTCACAGCGATTAATCAATTATTGAAATAATTTGTGATTAATTTAATAGTTGACAGCTAATCAATAAATTGTTGCAGCTCTAATTGACTGGACAGTGTATACAAGCTACTGTTTTCAGTGATTAAGCCAAGAAAATGTAAATTTGGTCATTATTTCAGTTGACTTTGGATTAGTGGCAGCCACAATGACTGACTGTGATAAGCTGACACTCCTGTCAATCAAGAAAACATGTCAAATGAAAGCTCTTGTTGAGCCAAAAGGTACATGCACAATAAAAAGGACAAACAATGGTAATTTATTTTGTTTTAGCTCTCCTGTAAAGTTGTCAAATATCACTTACGTCCCTCTGGTTCTCAGCCCTTAAATAATCTTTAAACCTTTAATCTAAGTTTAAAGGTATCCTTTGGAGAATTGGCCATTATTGATATTATGGAGAAGTGGAAGAAGACTGGTAGTTGTTAAACATGCATGTAAAAAATTTTAAATACAAGGGATAAAAGGCTTTGCACATACTGACTTTTTTATCAAAGGGATTTCTTTTAGCCAGTGTCCACTGGCCATGAACATAGCACCTTCAACAAGTGTGTATTGTATATTCAAAAACTATTTCAAACAAACTGACATCTCCAAACAGGATATAAAATAATGGATGGGCAGTACATTTAATATTGTACACTATAATATCTAGTGTAAGTGCCATCCTCAATGGTCTGAGAATAAATTCAGTGCTGTTTGGAGCTTGCTGCAGGCCCCAGCTTTGATGAGAGACATTTATAAATGTGTCTTTTTCAGCTGAGGAGGAGTTTGTGATCGACGACGAGAACAAAGGCTGCCAGAAGGTCATTCACAATGAGACCCAGAGAGTGGCTTACAGCTACTTCTTCTTCCATTTTGTCTTCTTCTTGGCCTCGTTGTATGTAATGATGACCCTAACTAACTGGTTCAGGTTAGTTAACCACAGCACACTCAATGTTTTCAACACTCATTCATATTTTTGTTATTTCTAAGGGATATCTATATATATTTACATAAATAATTATTAGGGAAAAGAGGGGATCAGAAAAAGTAAAGGTTTATGTATTTTTTTATTTCTCCTAATTACCCTCCCTAATAGAGGGGAAATCCATATTTATTGGGACAGTTGGAGAGGGTCTTTACAGGTTTTGGTTCAAGAATTACTGGAATTAAGGCTGTCATTATATCAGATTTTCACTGCAGGATTATCATGACCATAAAAATTCACTATAACGATATTATCACGATATCTATAGAAAATTTGGAAAAGAAAATGCAGTAAGTCAAATTCATCTTTAACTTTTATTCTGTGTGTTTTTTGTCGCTTTTTTGGGACTCGGGAGGGAGGGAGGTGGAGAGAGAGTGTGTGACCATAACTTTACATAACTTTACATAAAGCACAATTAGTGTGAGTCACAAGGCGAGAACAGGAAGAAATGAAAATGATTTAAGAGGTGCTGAATGTTTATTCTTAATATGATATCAATATAAATGTTTTTAAATATCACGGTTAATACCGGTATATAAACAGGAAGTATCATTTTGTTATGTTTGCCATAATTTTGGCAATTGCTAATTCGGCTTCTTTTGTGTGATTTGATGGCTATATAAGGTCTAAATTGGAGTATATCAAGATCCTTTGTGCATTTATATTCTTTACTTTAAGATATTGTAGGAAGGATGTTGCCCTTTTTCTCTTAGTCAAGCGGAGGGTATAAAAAGAAAGCTGAAACATAATGCTCAGCTCCCCTCCTCATCCCAATAATTTAAACTGTGTTGTCCTCCTCCAGCTATGAGTCAGCAGTGTTGGAGACCACCTTCACCCACGGCAGCTGGTCTACCTTCTGGGTGAAGATGTCGTCCTGCTGGGCCTGTGTGATCCTCTACCTCTGGCTGCTGCTGGGCCCTCTGTGCAGCTGTCAGTCTGAATCCAGACCTCGCCGTTCACGCATCAAACGCCGCTCAGCGTCTTCCCGTCACGTCACTGTTAGCGTCTGACACTCTCTGTGAGGGGCTGGGCAGGATGGAGGCGGACAGGGCGCGATGTGGACGAGAGGTCACATGACTCCGAGCCTCCCTATGGTGCCCTGTGGGAGGGGATTTTCAGGAATGGAGGTCACAGGGGTCAGGGGTCAAAGACTCACAGTGCTGTGAGAAGGACCAATCAGAGGGCTCAATGTTCAGTGTCCTGTTGATATGTGAAGAACTGGATAAAGCCCTGACGTCAAAGGCTGGACACCATGAAATGAAACCACTAACAAGAACCAGACTGTGGTTTGGAAACACACTAACAGTATGAATTGCCAAAGGGATCAGAAGATGTGAAATGTCACTCTGTATAATGTGGGAATTACAGTAAGTAGGTGTAAAGATGGGATACATTTATGAATTTATACTAATTTTAGTGTTATTTTAAATCTATGGTTATATTTAGACTTTTAATATTATAAAGGTAAGGAATTATAGATATTTGCTCGAATATAGCTACAGAGGCACACATCCCAATTATGTTTTTTATTCTGAAAAACCAACAAATCCGCCCTAAACAACACAGTGTCGGTCCTCTAATCTTAGACGGGCAATCGATGGTTGTGATCATGAAAACATCTTTCTGAAAGTTGGAAACAGAACTGTGGGCCAACCGCAGCAACTGTGTGCGTTCAGTTAAACTTCTGATGCAAGAGACTTCAGTATCTCACAAGAACTGAACAGTACAGTTACAATAATCAAAGAAATTCAATATTTATCCATTTGAAATTTAAGCTTTTTTCTTCACTTTCCATCTAATTACCTTATGACGCTACATTTGAAAGATCAGCTACTCATCTTGCAAATTCAGTTACCAACAAGCCTTAAAAAATTGTTCAGCAGTTTGGGAAATCTACTGCGCCTAGAGAGGAATGATTTCAGTACAAAAGTTCACGTAAAACCACAACTTATTTTATTCTGTTTGTTTACAGATCAAACAAAGGAACTTTAGAGGTGCGGCTAGGCGTGTGCTTGAGCTTTGGCTAGCTGTATCCCATTTCCAGTCTTTTTGCGAAGCTAACTGACTCCCAGCTATAGCCCAATAGCAAATGCACAGTAATGAGAGTGGTGTCAAACTTCTCAACTCTGGTCAAAAACAGCAAATAAGCACATATCCTGAAATGTAAAACGATTGCTTGAATAATTATAATCTTCAGTACAACTGCAGTGAGTTAGTCCAAAACTCGCTGCTGGAATGGCAATGAATTGAAGTCACGCTGTAGTTACGTCGTATAATAGCATTAACTTTATTTCATTTAGTGCTAACAGTCACAAACCAGAAATTGTACAGACAGAACAAATTTAATTGCATCCTGACATTAAATTATGAACTTTGTCCTTTATACCTGTCAATGAGGCAGCTTTGGGGTTGGTTGTTATGTCCAGCCAAAAGCCAAAGAAAGACATGTATTAAAATAAACCCTGAAATGTCCAGGATTGTGGGAATAACAGATTCACTTTCAGTATTTTCTCTGCATCTTTTCACAGGATTGCTTTTTAAATGCTCAGTGACAGAAGGTCTGCCAGAGGCGACTGAGAGGCAGCTAATCAGAAATGTATGATGTTCTTCAAAGTTCAACGCTTTCACACAGATTTCTTAAACTGGGGCAAAAGATACTTTGCGTTTGACTTACAAAGATGAACAAGTTGCATGCTCGCATTATGTTGCTTTACAGTACATCATTCACTTCTAAATTCATTTAAAATGTCCAGATTGGATTGATTCTTGTTTACATTTTGTTTTGCATATGTTACGCTATTAAGCAAACTTAAAAAAATTGAAACCAAGAGTGCTCAAAAAACAAAAATATTCTAAAACTGACTTCCAGAAGGGATAGAAGCTCTCTGTCTCATGCCTTCAGATGAAGTAGTCGTGTCTGCAAGACGCTGAGGTGAACTGTGTTGTGACTCTAAAGTAGCTCCCCCATGTTGATGTTGGTGTGTGGAAACCTGGGACTGGTTTCTAGATCTGTCCCCTCTACTGAAGGGACACCGAGCCGAGTGTCTGTGATGACTCCCCACAGTTAATGAGCAGTAATCTGGCTCTGTCAAGGAATATATATGTATATAGTTATATTATCTGCAGTTTCATGTAGTGTTTCCTTTGTTGTAGATGTGAAGCTTGTTTTGTAAATACATTGTTTTCTTACAAACGCTGCTGTTCTCATGTCTGGTTTGTTAAACTGTGTGCAGTATGATAAAAACACTTGTGTAGTCAGCTTTAATTCCAAATGATATTGCAATGGTTGGCTTACGTTAGTTTACATTAAGAAGAATGGATCATTATCATCCAAACACACTACAGACAAATATACAAAGAAACTCTTTTGGCACATGTAGATGAGGTTTGAGAGAAAATGTTATATTTCAAATCGCGAGTTCATAACGCGAGGCACAGAAGTAAGCTGACTATTTAACAGACTGCATAGTTTTCTCAAAACAATTATAGTCAAATTATACTTTAGTATATTTGTAGCTAATCAGTGCCTCACAATAAAATACTGTATATATTTCATAATCTCTTTCACATAAAGTATCACAAAGCAGACCTGATTTAACACACTATTAAAAAAAATTAATACCACAAAGGAGCAAAACAGACACTGTGAAAGATGTTAAACAGGTGACACGCAGGTAATGTGTTATGGTTTAAGCTTATTTTGTTATACATAAATACATTGTGAAGCAATATGTTGTTACTATAGCTTGAGTTAAAACTAAAGGAAAAATCCACCTCTTTATCCTGATTAATAATAATAATTTGGTGTTTTGCAAATCCATTTTTCCACTATTTAATTCTGCTTTCCTACATTTCCAAGATGCCTTTCAAAGAACCCCCACTACAGAAAATGTACCTGAACGTGTTGCATGTATCTGCAGTTACATGTGCTGTTTGAAAGATAATGATGAGTTGAATTTGGGGAACCAAAATGGGATTGCGGTCCCATTTTTATTGGTTTATTGGTTCCCAATTGAGTAAAATACAAAACAATGCTATGATATGTAAATTCATTTTCTGTTTTAATTGGAGGGCTATGCACGTACTCATAGAACTGGAGTAACATCCAGTAACTAACACTTTTTCCTACTATGGTCCGTTTAGCTCAGATGCTGTGTGCAAAGGGGGTCCTTTCTCCCTGTGTTTGCTCTCTCTGCCTGAGCTGAGGTTGAGTGTGACTTCTGTGATTCCCTCACTCTCGATCGAGTCCATGATATTGAAACAAAGTGGCCAAAGTGTTAATAGAGAGGCCTCAATGTGTCATCCAAACAAGCATTCTCAGCACCGTGCCAGTCAAAATAATTTTTCCTCTTCAAAGACTTCCAAGAAACAGTGTTTTTACAGTAAGTCAGTTGTGTTTTTTTGTGTAACATTTAAATTGTTGCTTTATTTTTTATCAGTAGTTTATAAATGTAGATGTTCTGGCAATTCATGATTTTAAGTTTGGCTCCGACACCACATTTCTCTATTGGGTCTTGAGCTGAAAAAGTTTGGGAACCCCTGTGATAGCAGAATCTGTGTTAATGTTTATTTTAATTTTAAATACAAGTCATTAAATCCTGGTCTACTTTCTGATGTAGATAGAGCAGATACCATATATATTGATATCCTCAATATTCCTCAACATAAAAACACTGGAGTCTCATTCATTATATAATGATACTTAGGTTTGTGTTATGGCCCTTAACTTTGCAGGACTGACACCAACACTTTCTGTTGATAGCTTAGATCAATGAGAGATTTGTTGCTATACCAACTCTACTGACCTGCTGGATGATGGATGAAATCATTTGGGCCAATGTGTCCCCAGAAATAAACAGAAGACAAAGTGGTGTTTGATGGGATTTAAGCAGCTGTTTGAGTGTTTTGAGGTGGATTTTTCCTTTTAAGTTTACACACACACACAAAAATAATCATAATCTAACAAATTAAATGATAGTTGTGGAAAAACAGCAATAACAAAAAGGCCATTTCAGTCAATGTTCTTCTCTTTGGTATGTGTTTAAAGGTGGGCACACGCATCCACCTAAAGTGCTCTATATGGTACAGTAAGCTGGTCAGGCTTTTAAATAAACATGGAGTCTTTTTGGTTTCTTAATGTGGCGAGTTTCAAATGAGGCGGAAACTGTCTGCCGACAATCCAACTGTCATTTTTCTCCAGTGACGCCACTCTGGGATTCATCAGACCATCACATGGATCACATGGAGTCCGAGGATGTTTTGAAGGTCCAAAAATGAAAAATTGGAAGTGAATACAGTTTCAGTATGAACTTCATTCTCTGACGCACACACTCACACTCACGCTCACGCACACACACACACACACACACACACACACACACACACACACACACAGTCTCTGCACTCATCCCCTCAGTCCTGCTGGCTGTTTGGGTCCTCTGTTGCTGCAGAGTCTTTCGAGCGGTCGGAGCAGTTCGTCCTCTCTGGGTCTGTACGGCACCACGTAGCTGTCCTCCTCCAGCAGGATGCGGTTTAGAGTGTGCTCATAGTTAATGTGACGGCGCACCATCAGTATGTACTGTTTCCCTTCCTCCAGGTGGGGGCAGTCACACAAATTAGGGGCCCATAAGAACTCCCGGTGCTCCAGGCGGTAGCCGTTCCGGTAGGTGTGGATGATCTGGATGTCATAACGTGTCTCTTCGCCTCTGTACAGCTTCCCAAGGACTCTGCCCCGGAAAACTAACAGGAAGCAGAGACAGCTCAATAAGATATTTCCATTTATATGTTCAAGTTAGTGTTCTGTCACAAGCCATTTAGAAAAAAGCAAAGCTACAAAGTAACTCACCAAAGTCCTTCTGGCAATATTGTCTCTGGCGTTCCCTTCGACCTTTAACCCGCTGACATTTCCCACAATTCTCTGCACAATAAATCGAGCAGAAACAAGCTCACAAATATCGTCACGATATGAGGACCTTACGTCCCTCACAACCTTGACATGTTGGGAAATATGCATGCTTTCTTGGGAGTTAGATGGAAGGGTTGATATCAAATAGCTACACATCTGAACATGAATATATTAAGAGAGCTGGTTACTGGCATTAGCTGGTATTGTTAAACTTGGAAACTTCAGTTTGGCAAGCATTTTTTCATATTTGAGTCCAGTAACCAGTTCTTATAGTACATGCATGCCACTGAACCACTGCCCACATCTTAGATTTTTATCACAGATTCAAAATTGACACGCGAAACATTAAGTTAATGTAAAAAATGGAAAATGGTGAACGTACTTCCAGGTGAGGGCTGAGGCAGCAGGTTTCTGTGGTTCTCCTCCCGCTCCAGGCGGGGCAGGATTGGCTGGTGAGGGCGCTGGTGGCGGTTGTGGTGGGGCGATTGGCGCGGCGGCTTCACAGGCCTTAAAACTAGTGGACAAAAATGACATACACTGTTGTCAACAACGTTGTAAACAGCAATGAAATTAACTTTAATAAAATTATATAAAAAGCCCCTTTATACAGGATAAGAACATTTCTGACTATTAGCTCAGTGGGTAGAGCTGGCGACTCATGTACCGAGGCTGAGTCCTTGCTGCAGCGGCCCAGGGTTTGAATCCGACCTGTGGCCCTTTGCTGCGTGTCATCCCCTCTCTCTGCCCCCCTTTCCTGTCTGTCTTCAGCTGTCACTCTCATAAAGGCAATAAAAGCCCCCAAAAATACTTAAATTAAAGAACATTTCTGACTTTAACTGCCACTAGCTAACAGCAATGGTTGTTATTTTGAGCAGCAGTAATGCAGCATGTGCATCACATGATTCTGGAGCAGTCTCACCACCGCCCACAATTTCCATTGTGCTACAGCAATCAAACATCAAGCAGATTTAGTATAAATAGTAAGCTCTAATTTTAATTGTGGTAATTTCCTCATGTGAACACCGTAGACTCAAGCTTCCTCTCAGTCTTTAACTGTGCAATAAAAACATATTTCATGTTGTGTTCTGGATTAAAATATATCAGTTTGTTTTATCCTGTTAATCTGCAAATATAAGACTCCTTCTGGGTAATGGCAATGCATTGACATTGGTACCAACGAGTAACTCCAGGATTTTAAAAGACGAAGAAAATGCAAGAACAACTCACTGTGTTTCACAACCGATCAGTGAAAACAGGAATTTCTTTGTTTGGATAAACTGATCTGATAGTAATGAAACAAGACCTTGTTTTTTTAAAAGCTTGTGGTGTGTGAAGATAAAAATGGCAATACAAAACAAACATTCATACAATTCCTAGTTTTCCAGACTAAGATCATTCTAAACTCATTATGCCCTACAGAACATGAAAAATCATGCCCAAACTCAGCGACTGGAACGCTCACCTTATTACCTAACAAACAATCAACACCCTATTTCTGGCTGCAACAAACAAGAAGCAGATTCTGTTTGGCACGAATCCATCAGCAGGAAAGTCTTTCCAGGGAGGCAACTTAGATTTATTACAATATTGGATGGATTCCGACAGAAGGCAGAAGTCCTCCGGCTGCAGTGTGCAGATTTCCATGTGAATGTGAGTATTGAAGGAGGAGAGGTTCAGCACATGTGTACTGCAGGCTTATCACAAGAGATAAACCAGCTACATTCCTCAGCTTCAGCAACCAGCCTGCTGATTAACTCTTTTTAATCAAATGTGAACTGAGGATGGATCATTTTTAACCCACTGTCCAGCACACAGGTGTTTTCACTCTCCTGATTAGACCTCCTCTTAGGATTTGAGGGGAAACACCTGTGAGGGTGTGCAGACATATGAGCAAGATCAGTGTGTTTGAAACCCGATCCTGACTGAATTCTAATGCTTCCTGCAATTAAAAAAAACAATACTGCTGCTGCAGACTCGGGGTTAAAGTCCACTCATGTACAGGCAATAAAAAAAGCTAATCTTAGCTTCATATCTCTGCTTTGACAATGTCATACTTATATGCTATGTATTTTAATAGCCCCAAAACCAGATATAAGATCTCCTTCACATTACTGTAAGTGCTTCAGGTGCAGCTTCTCCATACTCCTGCTGCATTAACTGCTTTACACAGTGTCCAAAGATCCAATATTTCCCTCATTACTGTACATCCTAATATTGTCCACAGTTACAAAGCATGCTAGAGGACTAGCATGCTGTAGACCAAAGTCAGTAAAGGAACATATTGGGCATAATGTGTTAAATTTTGGACAACCAGTGTAATCATTTAACTACAAACCACTTGGAATATGTTACATGAGCTGACAGACATTAGGGCGTTGGTCATATTTTGGCAAATGTGGCCATCATTCCAATCGAGCTGCGAACAGCTAGAGTCCAATGGGACAAAAACAAGAGTCCTAGGATGTCAGATTGGTTGTAAACAATACAACAGGGTAGCAGGGTCTAATCCACTTTATTTGGAGGTAAAACTAAATATGAATGCACCTGAAATTACGTTAATAATCCCTCTTTGTCGAGGATTATCCAAAACTGAGATTTTAGATAATAATTTTACTGTTCTCCTCTGTTTCCTTGAGTTTCTTGTCTAATCAGGCATCTTTTTGGTGATGGTTTTTGTTTATTTTGTGGCCTGTTCTCAGCAGTTAACTTGGTGAGTAAAATGTTATTTTTACTGATAAAAACCACAATATAAGATCCAGAAGATTGTGGTCGTATGAAACTGCAATTTTACTTTAATGGACATCAATCTTTGTCTAAAGTTCTTAAACAGAAGCTTCATTAGCTTCACAAGTTTGAGGGAACACTGTGGGCATTTATGTTCAAACTGAAAACTCAAGGGGCTGCACTGGTTGGGTTTCTCTTCAGGTACTGGTGAGTTGATGAAATACTATCCAGGAAGTCCACTTTGAACAACAGATTCATGAGTCTGAAGATTTATCAGACACCAAAACACATCACAACTGTTTATAATACCTTCTTTGCGATTATTGGCAGATAATCAGTCGAATGACATTACAATGTTACCCGCCAGGAATGTGTGCTGGAACTTATTTGATTGTCTGACACAACGCTTTGGCAGATGTTGTGTTCGATTCAACTTTTTTTCCAGACAGCCCTGTGTTTTATTTTGCAGAAGCCTGGGGTTGATCATTGAAATAAATGAGGTAGCTATAGTTTTTATGCAGGCACTTCGGTTCTTCCCAACTTCAAGAGTTTACTCTGATGAGTAGATAATTTATTAATGATTTTGGTGAGAATTATTCCTTTAAACTCATTCCTTTTATCTATGAATGTACTAAAGTGTGATTAAATTAAACTTACACCAGTGTGGTCGGGTGGTGACAGGAGGAGCCCGGGTGGTGGTAGTGCTGGTGCTCGTTGTGGCTGTGGTGGGTTCATCCCAGGGGAGGTAGTTGGCACTGTGGTGAGCTTGACGCAGTGGACTCCTCCTCCCATGGTAGAGGGCATACTGGTCTGGTGGCAACCAGTACTCGTACTCGATACCTGGGTTGCTGTCTGTTGCCAGCACCTGCACACAATGACAGCACGGGAACATCACAACTGGCCTGGAAAGGTTTTGAATCTGTTTTTGTTTTCATCTGCCCTTCTATTTTAACTTAGTCTAGCATAGAGGGTAAGCACATATAGTATAGATTTACTTTGTTTGATTTTACTCCTTATTTTGGCATCAGAGCAACTCTTAGAAAGCATCTTTCTCGATCTTCATGGACACATCAACTACTTTTTTACTCTATAGACAAAAAACAATATCACCACAAGGTCTGTTAGTGCTGATATGGAGGATTTCATTATACTGTATCTAATATTGTATTGAATATTAGAGAGGTCCCAGTCTGGATTCAAGTCCTTCATTGGGTATCTATCAAATCTGAGTCAGATGTCAGTGTTGGCGGGTGTAGTTTAGTAGAAGGAAAATAGTTCCTAGATCAAACTGCTCACAACAAGGTCCGTGGATTAGCTTTAGTAACCGGGTCATGATTTCTGGAAAGAGACACTGTTGTCGAGTTCAGATGTATTTTGGAGCTTTAAGCACCACAAGCCGAGTGCCATCTGGTTCCATTGTATTTTAGAGAAGGCAGACATCTCTTCAGCTGAACTCTCCAAAACTCAACAATAAAATAATTTAGATGGATAAATAGAACTACATGTAAGAGAAAAATGTGACTCATGTTTAGGTTACAATAGTACGATGACAATAAACCTGAGCACGTCATGAATGCTGTTGTATTCATACTCCCTTTGTAGGAGTTCAAATGAAGTGAACAGTAAACAATGTTCACAAGATTTATTTACAACCACCATCAATGTTTTACAGAACTTCTAACTGCAGACTCATGTTCTTACAGTATCACAGGAGGAAATAGTTAACCTCTTTCTGGTAGCTGAGCCAGGTCTGTTTGAGAAATACCTGCACAGAGCCTGAATGGAAACAATCAATTATGTATTCAAACCTGGTGTTTTATTTGCCTTGTGAAATGCTTAACAAGAAGCTGAATAACTTCAATTTAACAGTATATTGCACAAAGTAGGAAAGTAGAATGTGTTTATCTTTTACTGGTTTTAGTGCCTGATAATGATGAGCCAATTGTTTCGTATTGGTTGATTGAACAGAACTACCAGTATGGTTTTATGCTTTTAAAGAGACCAAATGAACTCTCACCATTAGATGGAGGTCTTCCCGGGTGGGTCCTGGTACCTCGAAGCTCTCCCACGTGTCTGCCGAGCGCCGGTACAGCAGCTTCGTCCCGGCTACATTGTACTCTCCTGGAATGCTGATCTTCCAGTTACCGTTGATCACAAACTGGGAGCGACCGTTCTGGAGGGCTGGATGAGGGAAGAAGGTAACAGGAGGGAGGGAAGGAAGAGTATGGCGTTATTCAGTTTGATTTATAAGAGAGTCAAATATTTCTAATTGCAAACAATTAGCGCTCCATATAAGTGGGTCATAATGAGGTAAATGTAGGCTGTCAGAAGTAGAAATATGCCAACTGGCTATATATGGCAGCCGTCTCTCCTCAGTGCTGGGAGAGAGATTTTCCATGACATGAGATGGAAACAAGTACCTTCACCTGCCTCGCACCAGTGGTCAGATAAAGTCTTTACGAGCGTCCCTTTCAAAACCACAGTGTGTGCCATTTCGAGGCCTGTTTTATTTTGGTCTCATAAACAAGGATGAGAATAGATGCCCTTGGTTATAATGTTGCCTGGAAAACACACAACAGGTCCAGAGACCAGATGGGACTACTGAGCCCCTCCTGTCTCTGGGGAGAGGAAGTAATAGCAAGTCTAGGAATTAATTTAAAGCGCCTGATTTACACTGGAGCTATGGAGCCAGTGACGTAAAGTTAGTCTACTGCAGAAAGCTGAAACTGATACGCACGGCAGGCCAGGTGTCCTGTGTGAGTGTGTGTGTGTGTGTGTGTGTGTGTGTGTGTGTGTGTGTGTGTGTGTGTGTGTGACAGGCAGAATCTTACCTAGATAATTCCTGCTGTTATCTGTGACTCGGATGTGAGTGGCTCCAGCTGGTATCATGGCCACTTCGTTGTATCCAAAAGGTCCGCCTGGCAAACAGAGACACTCATTTATAGAGGCTTGGTTTTAATGTTAGTGTCCCTTTTTCAAACATGATTAAAGGAAAATTCAGTCTTTTACAATCTGGGACACACATGCTGCACTGAAAACAGCTCCACAACTAAGTAAAATGAGGCCAAGAAGAGAAAAGCCTCAGATGGCTTTTAAAGTTAAAGTTATTTGGATCTAAATGAAGCAGGACATAAAAGTTAGTAACACATAATCCCTTAAGACTCTCTGTTGCATTGCGGAAATAGATCTGGGTTCAACCTGCAGCTTGACTGGATGCGTCCCAGTGGTGTGTTTACACTGGGGCTCTGGGATGTGACCTAAAGCAACTTCGAGGTCAGAATGAGACATTGATGTTAAAGTCAACTTTACACAGCCTGTAACAGTTGCAGTATGTCTCTTATAACTGAGAAAAGATCTCAAGTGATATCACGTGACAGGATGTCTGAAGGCTTGTCTACACAGCGTGGCATACACATATTGACCATTTTTAAGAAAAAATAAATAAATAAAAGAAGGACCATGGTTGCAAAATACTGTAAATTTCCTTCAAAGGTTATATAATTATAATATTTATTTGTCTTCTAGGGAGGCTGCCATGTTGAACTTCCATGTTTCCACAGTAGCCCAGAAGGGACAAACCGAACACTGGCTTTTACTTAAAGACAATTTCTAAGAAAAAAAAGAATAATCTTTGAAAAGTTGTGTTTACATTCCAACGATAGCTGCATGTCTCTAAACATTTATTACAGTTCTGTGGTTTGAGAAGTGCACTCACTTTAAACAAGAGATTGCTGCAGGCCTTCAGTTTGTACTATGAACCATTTTCAGCAGTCAGTAACTGATAGGCAATCAGCAACTCACAAATAATCTGGATTAGTAATCAGATAATTGTGTTCTTTTGAAGGGATCTTGCCAAACACTGGCAGGTTGTAGCTCGTATCACAATACTGATTATCTGTCATCATAAAACAATCAAAATCCATGATGTCAGTAATGATTAACTATGATTAATGGTTTACAGGATCGTTTACAAGCACAAAAAGAGACAATTTATGAATGAGGCTGAAGTCACAACCATTCATTACAAAGTGATATTTCAATTCTGAGCCAAAACAAAAAGAGGCTGAGACAGCTCTATGGTTCCCCTGCTGTTCTGGAGTGAAAAGTAGCCGCAGGATGAACTCCATTCATTACGGCCTCTGAAGAGCGCGTAACTTTGGTTGCCCCTGTTTACTCGTTTCAGAGGGAAACTATGCGCAAGGTTCATCTGCTTCATTAGGTACATGAAGATGTAGCACTGTGACTGAGGAAATGTCAGAGCCACAGACAGGCAGCGATGAGCTTGAGGCCATCACCGTCTGACCTTGTGAGGAGCAATTCTTTGCGACCACCCTCCATCAGTTTTCCCTCTGTTGGGAAACGCAGCTGCAGGAGGAGAGAAAACCTCCCAAGGCTGCTGAGTCGCCCAAACAAAGCGACCATTATCAGCCTGTTTTCTTCGTGCTCAATCTGGGCCATTATGGCCGGCACTCTGCTCAGCCTACACAGAGCTGTGTGAGGAAGCCACTGTTACAGAGCCAAGTCGCACGCCAGAGGTGTGGGATGCTTTCTGTTCGAGTTGATTCAATTCTCAGTAGAGGGCAACACAGGATCTAAATGAAATGCTTGCCCCGTCTTGGTCACAACTAATTCAATTTTCTTTTTTTCAACATTGCTGCCAACATCGTTCTATTCCGGTCCGTCACATTCTTCCTCCCATCACAGTCTGAGTGATTATTTATTGTGTTGACGGTTAGAAACCCAAAGGAAGGGCACAAAATAACAGAACAACATACAGTGTTGACAATGTTGAGGTTTCCGCATAGGATCTCTCACCTGTTTTAACTAAACTTCAGTTTCTCATAAGCACATCATAATGCCACTGGTGTGTGGAATTTTACATAAATCCACTTCTCACTTGTTCCTGTGCGTATTCATTTACAAGCTAGCGAGCAGCTTGCTAGGCTTTATGCCAAGCAGCTCTTTGTTTCTGTTTATATCTCTAATCTTGACGCCAAGGCACATACAAAACAGGGAAACCCAAGAACTACAATAATGATCTTCTCATTTATGCACAGCAGGTAAAGACTAAACTCTCTGGCCCACCACTGCATCACGTTCAGTTCACATGCATATTTTGCTTTTGTTTGCAGGTGTGTCTGTAATTTACCCAGGTGGAGTGGAGATGGAGATAATTTAACATTTACCACCTGTCTGCCTCTAAGAGCGGAGCTTTTTCTGCCAAATTTAACTGCAGAACCATGTGCTATAATGATCAGTTCCTTGACATAAGTGTCTCTGTCTGAGCTGCAAATGCAGTCAGAGCTGTGGCACAGGAGGCTACAATAGTGTCCTGCTGCAATTAGAATATATTACAATATTGTCACGTGTCGTTGTTTTGCCTCAGTTTGCCTGAACACTAAACAGTTTTCTTCGGTCTGACCAATAGACAAAATGTTTACTGTTCTGCATTTTTAGCTTGGTTTGTTTTGCTTTACACTGCGCATTTCTTGTTGTACAGTTTGGTTAAAGGTTGTTTATTTATTTAGAGGAATATTCCTTCATATTCCATCTTTTAATAATTGTCTTCCTTTTTGTCAGGGGACATATAGACAAACCATAGAAAACCCTGCAGACTTTGACCTTTCCCTAACATGTTTGACGAACAGTCTATGTCAGGTCAGTCTCTGCAGTGCAGATACTAATAGGCCGAAAAGGTTTTGGTGGCATTGAGCCAGAGTGTCATTTGTAGCCTTGACTTTGAGCCTGAAGAACTCTATGTTCTTCCTCCTCCTTCCTGAAATCTTAACGACTGTAATTTTGGAGGACCTGTTGTTAGCTGAATTTCTTCCTGGAAGGCAGCCAACAGGTTTTGTTTGGCAAAACTGTTACCATGGTTAATATTCACTTTATCAGAGAACAATAACCTCTTGACTAAACCTGACTGACTAATAACCTGGAATTATCCCTGGATCGTGTTTGTCTGAAGCTGCTGCAATTGATTCCTTGTGGAGATAATATGATGATTGTTTGAGTTTGTGTGTGTGCGTGTGTGCGTGTGTGTGTGTATCCTACCTGCCTCCAGACCGTTGCTCTGGTACACGCTCTTGTGGTGCAGACAGGTGGTGTTTTGTCCTCCACACACCATGCAGGCGTCCTCCTGCTGCTTTGAACCCAAGATGGAGTCACAGCCAGGCTTCTGTATGACACATACAAATGTACACGCAACTATTTAGGAAACAACAGTTTGATTTGGTTGGACGTCTCTGCTGAAACTTGTTTCTCTGAGAGCGTGTTGATACGTAGCACTCTAACTTCACACATTTTCTGGCAAGAGCCCTGGCAACAACCTTTCTTTTTGTTTTGTCTCTGCTGCAGGTTCACCTTAAACCTCCTCCCGTAACTCAACTCGATCCACCTCTCCCTCTCCTTCTCTTATTTGCTTCTCCCTGTCATTTTCTCTTTCGCTCAAACATTTACTTTGGGACAAAACAGCAGCTTAGAGCCTTGAGAGAGGAAGATTGGTCTGAGAGTTGTCTCTGTAAACCTTAAAACGCCAAAGCAAAGAGCACGGAGGATGAGCTGGATGGTTTATGGTGTGTGGAGAAGCTTGTTGCTAGATAGATTACAGTGGCCGCTTTCTTCTCCAGCCTTCATCTCCCGCTCTGCAGAGCAAACCAATCAAGGGGGAGGTTCCCAGGCAAAAGAGCAGCAATCTAGGGAACCTGTAATCAGCCCCCTAAGCCCCTTAAATAAACCTAAAAACACTGCAAGCATCTGTGTGTGCACAACAGGAAATGAATCCTCGGTGACAGAGTAGCAGAGTGCACGAGGGCCCCACTGAGGGAGCCACCGGGGTCCTGCAAAACACCAGAAAATGATCAAGCGTAGAAAATCATTTGTGTTAACGTAAATTTCGGAGTGTAGAAATAAACTTACAAATGATTCTTTCAGTCTGCAACATTCAGGATTAATTGATCAGTTTTATTTGAGCAGCTGCTCTGCGGTCAGGTTTGGTATCTGATGGAACTGCTACTGGAGCAATTTATCAATTAACTGAGTCAACAGAATATTAACTCACAACAATACTGATCATTTATTAATAATTTAAGTCATCCATCAAGCAAAAATAAAAATAAAGTGTCTCAAGGGATGGCATTATTGGTCGGTCCAGACAGAAATATATCAACAATATTAGATGGATTGCCATGAAATGTGATACAGACATTCATTATCTCCAGAAGATGAATCCTACTGACTTTAGTGATCCCATGACTTTTCCTTTATCACCAACATGAGGTTGACAGGTTGAGTGGATAGTGGTGAACTTTGCAGATATTCAAGGTCTAGTCTAGTATTTTTGTTTAGGACAAAATTGCGTGCAAATGAGAAAATGTTAGCATGTTAACAGACTAAACTTAATTGGTGAACCTGGTAAACATCAGCAATGTCACTGTGTACATCTTAGCATCATGATGTTTGGTTCAAAGTGCTTAAAGCCTCAAAGAGCTCTTAGTCTTGTTTCTCTGTTATTTCATTGTAAAGTGAACAAAAACCAAAACCATATTTGGGTTTTTAACTTTTCACTGGAAGAAACAAACAATTTGAAAACATCCCCTTTGGCATTGGCAACTTATGATGGACATTTTTCACTATTTCCTGGCAATTTCACTGTCAGATTGTCAGAAAACCAAATTTGATAATTACTGTGATTGATCAAACTCCCAGGTCAACATTTAACAGCTGCAAATAAAAAACACTTAAACACATCTACATACGCATAATCTACATACCACATGGACACACACACACACACACACACACACACACACACACACACACACACACACACACACACACACACACACGTGCTGTCCAAACCAGCCATGTGTTTTGCAGTCTGATCTCAATTTGTGACCTGCAGCTCTCCACACCAGCTGCAGACTGCATCTGCTTCCTGTTTCAGGCCCTGTGCTGTTCTGACCTCGGCCAGCCGAGGCAAAGGTCCATAAATCCGCTCATTTACACCACACACCAAACATTAGCATGCACACACACACTTACAGACACCCACATATATAGACATATGTAAACATAGACACCATTAATCCTTTGTCAATAGTGTAAAAATAACTTTGCCTCCGAGTGTCCCCTCGTGTAGCAGATGTTTCTACTGAGTATTACGTACAGTATGTAAGATATTAATCTGCATGTGCTTCACGACCCGAGGGATAAAAGTTCATTTCCAGCCATCCCCATCTGTGTGCGGGTGCGAGGGGTGAGCAGGGGACAGGCTTGGATGTGGGAGCAGGACTCTGGACTGTGTGCTAAGCAGAGCTGTAATGCTAACTGAAGGCTGCAGTCCACACTGATGAGTGCACTCTGGCCCTAACGCACAGCATGGAGTTTACTTCTCCAGAGAGCTCCAGTCAGAGTGGTCAACATCACTTATACCACAACAGGGTGGGAATGAAGAGAGGAGAGAGAGAGAGAGAGAGAGAGAGAGAGAGAGAGAGAGAGAGAGAGAGAGGGAGAGAGAGAGAGAGAGAGAGAGAGAGAGAGAGAGAGAGAGAGAGAGAGAAACTTTGGCTCAATCCAGTCTCATTTTGAAATCTACTCCAGGCCGGTGGAAGTCGGTGGAGTTATGTTAGTTCAGGCCTATATGATTGTGGAGGTAACAGTCAATAGACAATGTTGGAGCACTTCCAAGGCTTGGGTGGACGTGAAACTCTTCTGGTTGAATCATCAGTCCAACAGATCAAATTTCAGTCTTTGATACCCAAACTCGTACCAATACCAGTATTGGACGTTTTCATGCTATACCATAGAGAATACTTTTCCCATTGTACTGTAGTTTTGTTTGTCTCTATAAACAGCATTTAGACCATCGGAGAGTTAGTTCTTTTTGGGTTCACAGCTGTGTGAACCCAGATGGCACATCCATCAAATTTTATGGATAACTGTGAAATATTAGGATTTTTTGTCAAAACACAAAACAGTTATTATAAAATAAGCATTACAGTGTTTCAAGAACACAGCAGCACACACATACGCTATACGGTTGACACTCACCAGGCAGCGTCCGTTGACACACACCGCTCCAGGCTCCTTGTCGCAGGCTGTGCCATCGAGCACACGGCCAAAGTTGTAGTAGAAGTTGTGACCCAAGGCCAGGCAGCTCAGTTCACAGGGGTTAGAGCCTGGCAGGGAAGATCTTCAGTCAGTGGCTCATTAGTTTATTATGGGAAAAATAGGCAAGGCAAAGGGACAGGGAGGGAGGTGGCTGAGAAACAGAAACAGGCAGGAGGTGAAGAGAAGGTAATGGGAGAGAGCGGAGAGGGAAAGGAGCTAGCAGATGTCAAGGAGAAAACTCGTAACCCCGTGTGGATTAAACACCCAGCAGGCCTCGCAGTGGACATGAGAGCCATGACAGCATGGAAAGTTTACCACATGACTAAAGTTACACATGGGGGACAAGCAGAAAGAAACACACTCTCAAATTATACTTAACTCCCGTATGCAAACACAAAGGTCTGAGTGACGTGAACTTCCACACAGACCCACAAACTTTATGCATCTACACGCCTGCAGACACATGTACATGTGTGTGGAACATGCTAACACACATAAAAATCCATGTAGTATGGAAATAACTTTGTTCCTCTCTCCCGTCCGTTTTGGAGTATATTAGTTACTGTAGGTTGGAGCCACGAGACTAACTTTGTAAAGTAATTATGTTAAATCAAAATAATTCTCAAAAGAACTTTGTAAACTTGACCAAACTAATCTGCCAAAGCTTAATTTTGAAAAATGAATATGATAAACCTCTGATATGGCTCCAAGGGTGAATTGGGATAGACTCACTGTCTTGTTATTTATGCCCACGTACTTGGTTAATGAGGTTGACTGGTTCACTCCAAGGTCTGTGGCTTATAACTGACTATATGTTACACTTATTTAATTAATATTAGATACATGCACAAAATTTCATGCATAAAAATGCTGTATGTATGTACACCACTGTTGTGAAAACCTTGTATCTCCAAACAACACTTGCCCGGCAGCTGAACGGTGAATTGTCTCACTGACCTCCATGAAAGGTGGTCCATCTGAAGGAGTTTCCAGCCACTAACGGTCTGTCATTGAAGGCAGCACACTGCATCTCTCTGAAATCCTCTGAGCTGGGGGGACATTCCTGCACACACACACACACACACACACACACACACACACACACACACACACACACACACACACACACACACACACACACACACACACACACACACACACACACGCGTATTGCATTGTGAGAAAATTGCATTCCCTACAATTGCATTAACCTTCATACTATCAATATATTTAACATACAAGGACTACCGACTGGGTCCCTTGAGACCCCAAGAATAAACTAATGTATTGTACTGATTCTGTCACAAAACATCACTATTTATGTAATTAATGTTATCAAAAAAGCTAAACTAAACAGATCATTATTATTTTAGAAAAATATGGAGGAGGAGGTGAGGAGATACTTTAAATTAGAACACATGAACTCAAACATGAACTCAAATAGTTCCATCTATTAAAACTGCGTAGGCAGAATTGGATGCTTTTGACTGGGATCCCCCAGGATCCAAATACATTGGTATTTTTAAAAAGCACAAATTAAAACAGAAACATAAAATAGTGCTAAAAAATAATTATGAACACATTGATAGACACAGTGGTGAAAAATGTGAATAATAGAATAAACCACCTGTGAGATATAGTATAGTATATAGTATACCTGAATAAGGTCTTCATCACTATAACAAATTTTATGCCTAACCCCATCTCTTAAGCAAACCTTAATCCTGTCATAATTCTAATCTTAACCTTAAAATAAATGAATAACCTTGTGGTGAGTCCCCATATGTCACAGTGTGAACACATTTTTGTTCCTATCACGAATTGCGAGTCAGGGATTTGTGTCCATTCATTCGAAGCTCTGAGCTAATCACACTGTACAAACTGCCACATGCACATACATTCAAGCATGCTTAAACAAGCTGCAACCCATCTGTGTGTTTTTCCTTTAATCAACATGGGCTTCAGTGATTTGGCTGTCCAAACAGACCCACACACACCCCAACATGTCTGACACACAGCCACTGACCTCACAGCACGTTTCTAACACAATAGCAGGTCTGATACGTGACTGTAACACCTCTGAGTTCAGCAGAAAGCAGTGTCGAGAAGACATGGGTTAATATGTCAGTGAAATTCCAGATCACACCCTGAAAACCCTTGGCTGCTACACCTGCCCTGACCACACCTATATGACCAACTTCTAGAGCAAACATCAACCATTGTTCTAAAATGTTTGCATCAAAAGTCTGTCAAATGTTTTTCATACAGTGTGAAACCTTCATGCTTAAATTACCTTGGTGTTGCAGATCTTGTATTGTCTGGGATCTCCAGCACATGGTCCACCCACTGGGTTCCTGGGGCAGAGAGAAAAGAGATTTATGGGACTAGGTACAGCAAACACAGCAGGAAAGAGTTTTCATTATCAAATAGAGCCTATGTAGTGAGTGTGCAGGCTGCTGTAATGGTAGGTTGGACAAGAATTTATCTCACACAGAAAGCACATTCAGATTTGGCACAAATTAAAATACAGTTTAACAGGTCTCATTATTTTTATTAAAATGGTACTTTATCAGTATTTGTTTAGATTATTCAAAAATAGGTAGGTGAACATTTGATTTTAAAAAGTATTGTTGCAGCTTCACTGCTCTGTAGCTGTATGTAGATGTTCTTTTAAAATTTAAAATTAATTAATGTAAGGTTTCGTTTAATATTGCAAGAGGGTCTGGTTCACTGTAAACTGCTTTTTTAGAAACCAAAGTGTTTTGTGTCTCGAGCCTCAAAGGTTATATATGAGATTTAAAACATTAACGAGCGGAGACTGACGTCACACACACTGTGTTGCTATCACAGCCTCTCTGTGCTTTGTTTCCAAATCCAGACTGACTGCGCATGCATGTTAGTGCATGATAGTCCCCCTGTGTTTAACTGAGGAGAGCGACTAAAACTACGGTTCTTATCATCTACGTCAGTCAATTAAGGACTAATATCGACCAAACCACAGTGGAAAGAATATTAAAGAGGGTTTTGGTGAGTTTTATTTTGTGTCTGTTGTCTCTGAATGCAGATACAATGTTATGATGACATACAAGATAAAATTAGAGCTTTTTTGTATGGAGCCTGGTGGCAAGTGATAGCAATCTTGCTGCTGTTTCTGATTAAATAAAAGGTCTATCTCTGTAGGGATCATTTTCATAATGTTGTCAGACATCAGAGTCTGTCAGTGGCAGAAACAACAACATTTAGTGGATGTACTTTGACGCACACATTTGTCCCAAAGGATTTGTTCATGGCAGCCACAGCAGCCCGTTTCACAGTGACTCAGTGATAATTTAAAGTACCAAAACAGTGCTGGAGATTGTTGGAAAGACTGTGGAAAGTCTAACAGAATCTTATTTTGATTCTGTTTTGAGAAAACACTGCTCTACTGCAAGTGAATTTCTCATATATTACCTTTTAGTTTATCTTAAAATTCCCATATTTAGGTAAATTTGCCCAATATATTCGTAAATATGATGACTCTTAAAACTTACTTATCTGTTTCAACTGTATGAACTACCCAAAATCATTTCAAATATATTATGAATTCAGAAACAGACACCAGATGAAGACTTTCAGTTGCACTGTTATCTACCTGGTGATGCAGGTGCGTGTCCTCACTGAGGCTCCGCTCCCACAGCTGCGTGAGCACATAGACCAGCCGTTCCACGTCGCCCACTCGTTCCTGAAGTGCAGCTGCCGCCGGGCACGAGCCGGACGACCTGATGAGGCCTCACCGGAAGGACCCCACGCAGAAATCCAAGACTGAGACACAAATGACAGAGACAGAGACTTTAATGCTGATATTTAACACAAACACTTTGATACAAAGTGACACAGAGGAATGTTAGCTGGTGAGACCTGAGTGAGACAGGCTTAGACACATCTCAGTCATCTTCGTGACAAAATTGCCACCTAGACAGACGGGACATGAGTGATGTACCGGTCATGAGTGAATGTGAAACAAACAACTCTTTTTCCTCATCTCTGACTAGCCCCATGTACCTGCTACTAGCTAGTGCCAACTGCAAGGACTAGACTAAATGTGTCACCCACACTAGTGTGAAACTCTTATATTAACTGTATTTGTGGTTGTATGCATCTTGATATAATGTTACACTTTTCACACATATTTTCGCACATATTTTCATCGGTTTCTGTCCCATGCTGTTAGGCTTTGCTCTGTTTATATTGTGTTTCTTGGACACACTATAACAACTGCCACTGTGGAGTCACGCAGAGCTGAGCTCATGAGACAGCAAACACTAAAAACTGCAGGGACGACACAACTCTCTAATCACTCTGCAGCATCACTCTGCAGTGTTGGCCTGCATGTTCAAAGCTGTCAGGTGGCAACTGGAAACTGTCAGCAGCTCACAATCTCTGCATTTGTGTGTGTGTGTATAAGAGGAAAACAAGAGAGACTGTGGTGTTGGCAGAATGATGGGATATCATTTGTGAAAGGGAAAAAGTGTGTTGGGGGAGTTAGGTGTGACGCCTAATAAAACCCACGTTATTTATAGCCTAGAATCTAACAGGCAGATAAATCTATTCAAAGAGTAGGTGGTATTAAAAAAAAACAACCTTGTGAGCCTGGTGGATCAGGATCATCAGAGCCAAACAATGAAAGTGATTAGAAAAATCTCAATGGCGCTCCTCAAACACATTCCAGAGTTTTTGCCCTGGAGGAGGACTGAAACTGGCAGCGTTCCCACCAGTTTCTCATACAGGAGCTGGCTCACACACACTCACTTTTAACTCTTTACACACATTCAAAAACTGCTTCAGCTACCTGTCTATCAGGAAGGGCTAAAGTCATCCGGAGTATCTCTTGTGCAAGACGAGAATTTAATCAGTGCAGGCATGAAGAAGAACATGTACAAAACACAGCTTAAAGGTCTTGTCCTCGTTGTCCTGCCACTTTCCTCATTCATTTGCAAATGTATGCAGCAGGATTCTCCGCTGTGTAATCAGATCTTATGTAAAGCAGGAGGAGTGAGGTGTAAGTAGGATGTCTCTGTCATGTTTTACACTTGATTTATTGTGTTGATAAAGAAGAAAAGTAGCAAATCTGCACATCTGAAAAGCTGAAACCACAGAATTTTTGCATTTTTTCTTGACAAATTATATTAAATTATAATAAACCATAAAGTAATTGCTTAAACTAACTTGACTAATCGCTTTAGCACTGGAACAGACGGATGATACTAATGACATACTACCATAACGGACAAAATAAATATAATATTCTAGGGTGGAGCTGAAATAGAAAAATGAAGCAGCTATGGCTGACTGTGACTGTCTGACAGTCCTGTCAATAAAGCAAACAGGCCCCTAAAACATAGGCCTACTCTTTAAATTAAAACTGTGATCAGCATACATAAGAATCAAAAGAAGAAAAAAGTCAAAAAGTGGGTCTGTATTTCATTCTTTATGATAAATTGGGTTTTTTTCCCCATTCACTTCATTTAGTTTTAGTTCAGGAGTGCAGTAGAGATCTGTAGACATAAGATGCAGTTGTCCCTTGAATTAATTATGCACTATCACCAATTAAACATAAGCCACAAGCTAGGAAAACAAACACAGGCTGACATTTGAACTGTAACAGTTTTGTTGTAACTTACACACCTGTGATCTGTAAGTGTCAAATTAACTTCAAATTGATTGCACCTGTCTTACAACCAGTGATTTAGCCTTAATGCTAGCACAAATGAGGGTTTAGTCAACATGGTTACAGCTTTTGAAATTTGACACACTATTTATCCTGGTTTTAATTCAAAACCACCTTCTGTCTGGCAATTAAGGCCTCACACCTTAAATTGTTCATAAAGATAATGCAAATCTCACCACATGTGTCCCAAACTGCAATAACCCTAAAAAAACAGCAGGAAAATCAGCTTTAAGGTTTTAAATGTTCTGCATAAGTCATACTTAAGATCAAAATGTATAAAAGGTCCCCTTTATGAATGAGGCCTCTGGTTCCAAACTGACCTCACCGTCACTAATTGCACTTGCGCTGACATTCACGTTGTGTTTCTGTAGTTACAGCAAGAGGAAAAAAAACCTGACTGAGGCTCTTTGACTTCATGACTCATAGAATAGAATTGGTCAGACATGCGCACACACACAAACACACACACACTCATACACCCACTCAGCTGAGAGCGACCTGTGCTATGACTCTCCATCATTTTCCATGGCAGGGTCACCTGAGGTTGCCCTCATTAGTGTTACCGCCGGCCAAATTAGCGTTGATAACAGTTGGAGATGGGGTCGGCCGGCATTCTAGATTAATGAAAGTGGCCTTTGACCTTTACAATGCACCCCTCCTCCCTTCCTCACATGAGCAGAAAGAAAAAGTGTTTGAAAAGCAAACTGCATGCAGTAAAAGAGAAAGAGAGGGAGCGAAACAGAGGGACTTTAAGGTGAAGAGTGCCCAGTCCAACATGCAGGTGAACAAATGCCCTGAAAGTAATTGTTTGACTTTCCCATCAGTCCTCTCGTCTGTCAGCAGACCAGCTCTCCCAGTCTGCAGACACAGGCTGGAGCTGACAGACAAACTGGGAAAAGGTTGATCCTAATAATCAAAATAACGTGATTATGTGCAAAAAAACACACACATCAGCTGCCTTTGATAATCATTTTACCACATTATACAAAGAACACGTTGTTCATCTTCTCCTTCAGTATACTGTGTGACGTGTGCCTTCTGCGTTTTCTTGTCTGTTAGCAGGACATCTAAAAAATGTGTGAAGATAACAGGATATGGGCCAAAGAACGAGCGATAATAGGTCAACTGACAATCCATGAGAGAAATTTCTGATCTGCCAGAAATCCATCCGATCGTTCGAGACCTCAATTGTTGATTGTTCAGGCTGTTAATCATAAATCACCCCAAGTTGAATGTCAAACTGCAAACTCACATTTGTCTGAGGCGACCACTTTGGGCTCACAGTTTCTGCCTAGCTTAGCCAATAATGTGTGTACACTTCACAACCCTTATTCACTTCACTGTGAGTTAAAGGCAGAATCCACCTGTAGTTTGACATGGTTACAACCAGCTCTTATTTATTGACTAGTTCTATTTGTTCTATTTGACTTCTTCTCATCTTTAACTGGCCAAATCCTGACAACAGAGACACTTTCAGTGCAGCTGTGATGATGACTCAATGCAGAAAATGTTTCAGAAATCTAAAACATCTAAAACAACTATTATAGTGCCATTACATCTGTTTAAAATGACTGAGTACTGAGCCTCCACCACATTCCTGTGTTCGATGTGACAGAGCAGGCAAGGGCTAACCTATCTCTGTCTACGTCTGGTTATTCCAGCCGGGCCTGGGGGAAGGTTGGGGGGGCGTCTGCCTGACAACAAGACAAACAGTGATGAAAGATGGATGCTGCAAGGTGGCGCTGCAGCAATCAGAGCATGGAAAGACCAAGAGGACCACTACCAAGACAAAATACCTTTAAAAGACAAACATGCTGCAAAAACAATCCAATCAGCACGCAGGCAGACCTGCTCACATCTGATGCTGGTCAAAGGGCTGTGATTGGTTTATTATCTAAATGAGCTGGATTTTCCTCTCTGGAACCTGAGAGCACAAATTAGCTTAATCACAACATTTGACTCTCAAATGTAAGAAAAAGACTAAAGGCAGGAAAAGGGGGGAGGCCGTGGGAAATGGCCTTGGGCCCTGACGGATTAGGACGACAAGGCCCTGTGTATGCACATTCAGCATGGTGCACCCGTTGAAACACTGTCATCCAGCTATTAGCTTTGTATATTTGCACAACACAACACAAAGGGTCACATTATGGCTGCCCATTGACCTAATGTCTACAGCTGAACTCCTTAAAAATCTATGTAAGAACACTTCAAAGAGCTCTGTTATAACAATTAAAATATATTTAATAAAGACATTGTTTGTTTGAGGCTCCATTTACTTAAATGTTATTTGATACATTCTTGTATAAACAATGAATCAAGTGACAATGTATGAAAGAGTCCTCAAAATGACATCCAATAATGCAGCTCTATGGGGCATTTTAGCCTCTTTTAGCTGATTGTTTTGGTTTTTGTGGCACATTTACTGTATAAGACAAAGAGTCTGCTGCTTCCTTGTCATGTATAATAGTAAACTCAACACATTTGGCTTTAGCTTTTTGGTCAAGACATTTGAACACATCACCTCGGACTCCTTGGAATTTATTTTTGTTATTTCATTAACCAAACAATTCATTCAGTCATTATTCAAATCATTAGTTGTAGCAGTTTGGTTCAGTCTTGAATGAGCAATTCTAGACAATCTCATGGAAAGTCATTACAGCTGTGTTTATCTGTGATTGGCTGATTAAAAGGCGTCCACTGCGTAGGGCGACGTCATCTGAAGGAGCTGCGGTTGACAGCCAGTCCAGGTCTCAATATAGTAAGAGATGTTGACACATAGCAGAGGCATTTCTGTCGAGGCCATGCAGTGACTTGTGTTGATGTGAGGCAGTTGGACTTACGCTCTGCGGGGACGACAGGCAGACGGGAGCGACCAGCAGCAGGACAAAGGTCAGGGCCTGGCACAGAGTCAGCTTCCTGAAGACAGGAAGAGAAACAAGCACCGTCAGTCGGTTGCTAACATCACCCTCACCGTTATACATACACAGGAATGCACAAACATAAAAGTGACAATGTAGAAGTTGTTACAGCAGAGGTCTTTGAGAAGCTGAAAGAAAGGATGAGAGGGGAAACAAAGAAAAGATGCAACTGACACGTTAAACAGCAGAGGTCTTTAGGTCATTGATAATATCCACAAATAAGCTGCCACACTACTGCGAACCCCTGCGGGCAGGAGTCAAGGTCAGGAATGCCCCCCCATCCTGCCATTATCATTAATTCCCCTTGCTCAGTCCCCCACCCATCCCAACAGTGTCTTATTAACTCCCACACAGCCTGAGAGGCAGGGACCGCCTGCCTGACTGAACCCCAACTCCCCTCATCCAACCCTGTCCAACTTTTGACCTCTGTTACATAAAAAGATGCTAAAAAACCAGGACGCCTGCTGTGTTTAGATAAAGCCTTTTCATTCCACTAATAATCTGAATAAGAGCTCAATTAGAATAAATAGAATAAATATCTGGTCTTTCATGCGTTTAAACATGGAGCTTCCACTGAAGGTGACCCGCAGATGCAATATTATATTGCTTTTCAGCCAATACATTTTCCTAAATGGACCCTTTCTGGACATTTAAGTATATGAATAAAACGTGACTTACGTAAGTACATTAAGAAAGTAAATTAAGGTATGTTAAAAGAAATAGTTTACTTTTGGTCTGGTCTTGTTTGGACCCTCCGTGCACTCCATCACCTTCATATGCGAACTTTCTCTGCCTCTACATCACAGCTGAGGGCTGCTGACCAAGTGGCAACATTTGACAACTTGGGAGTGACACCAGGTTATCATATCAGTTAGGAAATTATACGGATACTGTAGATCATCTTTACATCAAAATTCAGTTAAATGTAGAACCCACACGTTGAGCCACTTCTTAAGGTGCTACCAGATAACTTGTGCTGTCTGCTGTGTTTGCTCTACTAGCTCCCTCGTGTCCTTCTTTTTTACCTCGAGGCAAACGAGAGACGCGTATTCTCCGTCTTTTTCTCCTTCTGACTCATCAAAGGACAAGTGCTTTTTTTTCTGAGAAGTGCCAGTGATTCTTGGAAGGCCCCTCTCTTTGATTGCTTCCTGGCACAGCTTTGCTGACAGCTGCAGTGTGTCATGCCTTTATGGCACTGTTTTGTGATGGGATGTGTCATTTTCATTGACATACTATATAAGACAGGTTGCAATTGGAAAGTTGCAACAACTTAATCTTCTCTCCCACATCTCACTTCGTCCTCCATCATCTTCAAGCCTATCTGTCATTTATCTCTCTCAGCCTGTTTGTCTCTTTTATCTCTCCCCGGGCCATAAACACAGAGCCGCTCCAAAGCTTTTGGAGTTGGATTTTGGCTCAGTCCCAGGTCAGTAGTTGCCCCGTCCAATTAAACGATACACATCTCCCTCACACTTGGCTGAGCCGCCCTTCCCTTCAGCTCCCGTCATGGCCTTACATGGGGGAATTCATATCAGAGGAACAAGGAAGGTCGCGTTGACCGAAAGAGGCAACGGGCCCATAAATGATGATTGATGTAAGAGGCCGTCTCATTTTCACACAGACTTTATTTTGAAGCTGCGTGACTGAAGGGCCATTGTGCTTGCATGTTTGACCTCCTCAACTTTTAAAGACAATTTTCACATTTTCTAAACAAAGTTATTTATTATCAGACACCCCAGAACTTGCTTGAGTCATGTAATTCATCACATCTGCATTCGTCAGCAGAAAGCGTCAGTGATATGCATTCATTTTGCACCAGTTTTCACAATTACAAAAGTAGGATGAAGCCATTTCTCTCAGTTTCACTTGATGTTTGGCTTCAGTGTTTGAACATGAAAAGACAGCAGCTCTGGTCACTGACTGGTTGGCCCCCTCCCTGCAGGGGCCCTTACAGAGGTGAGCAGGGGTCAGTCCGCCTCCTCCTGGTCTCATTAAGACTATAGCAGCACATTAGTGAATAGCTCCGGGGCAGGGAGAGGGAAATGGCTTTAATCAATACGAGACTAGTTGTTTATTTTGACTGACATTAGTCGCTGCCATGACCGAGAAAACACACCGACCCAACCCGACTCAAACAACATGAAACTACTCTTATAAACAAATAATATTCAGACTGTAATCATCAACCCATGAGCTTTCATCTGAATATGGCTGTATTAGAAATAGAAAGACTGAGTGCTAACGAAACATTTGATCAATGAATGCAATTCATTAATTAACGAATCTGGTTAGAAATGTGAAAAATCGAAACATTTATACTCTTACTTATATTAAATGCAGATGAAATAATTCTATAAGATAAAAAGTGTGCTGTTGCTCTGTTTCTCATTTTTCCGACTTGTATTAATTAAATATCACATGAATGCAGCATCACTACACAGCAACCTGGATATCCCTTAGAGTTGGAACAATTAGTCAAGTAATTAACTCATCTTCTTTCTCTTTGGTTTCAGTTTCTCAAATGTGAGGACTTTTTGCTTTTCTCTGTTTTACAACATTGCAACAGCTGGTTGGACAAAATGTGTCATTTGACGGCATATCTACATTTAAAACAGATTTGAGTAAAAACAGTGAAACTTGGTTTTTGATAATATCTAAAAAAAAAAAATCAATTAATGATTAATCAAGTTTTACTAAACATTTTCTGATTCCAGCTACTTGAATGTGAATATTTTCCTGTTTTCTTTTAGTCGTTAGGGTCAAATTAAAGTGAATAACTTTGGATTTTGGATTGACAAAGCAGCAAGTATTGGGAGATGTTACCTTGGGCTCTTGGGACTGTTAACAGGCATTTTTTAAACTATTTAATTTTTACTGACCACATGAATTCCTGACCCTGACTCTGATTAGCTTACCCTGATATTCTCACCCTAACCAATCTAACCAAACCAAACCAACGAGTAGGTAATCAGAGTAAGAGTATGGCGGGTCACGTGCACTGTGATGTCACTGGCAACTACTGTTTTAACTACTGTTTTGTTCAAGGAGTTTAAACTGAGTCAGAACATACAACAATGATAGCATCAGACAAGCTTAGTAGTACAGTAGTAGTGTAAAAATAATCATAGTCAGATAACCTCCATCCAGCCTCACCAGCAGAGGTAAAAGAGGTTGCGCCCTCCCCACCCTCAATGATAATTCCTCTGTAACGACTGAACTCACAAACCTTTGCTAAAACACACCCTGACAGACATGTAGCTCTCACATTCCCACCCTGCACAAATAAATAACAGTTCCACGCTGTTATCATTCAATTACATTGAAGTCATTATCGGCCTCTGGTTGGAGTGCACTGCAGGTGAGAATGTGTTCTTTGACCTCTGAGTCATTTCAGCGAAGGAGACACCTGACTGAAGATCTGCTCCTTTAGTTTCTTTGTGAGGATTCTTGGTCTAAGTGTTTCTGTATGGTGACCTACAGGCGTCCTTTTTACAATTGCTTCGCACACCCACCAAGTTTGGAAAAGCAACACGTCTTCCAACAAGGGGCCGGTCTTAACCTTTGACCCAGCCAGAGATTTAGCTGTGACCCACCCGGCATTTGGAAGAGCCTGGTGGAGGGTCTGATGGTTATATGGAGCATGCTGCTGAATGAGTTGACACGACCCTTAACAGATGTTCAGTCTTAAGGCTCAGTGGTCAGCTCTGACCCTTGGATCTGTATTGACTATGAATGAGGCAGCAACAATCGAACACTCAGTGGCCTCGGTCAGCACGCATTACCAAAACGAGCCCCTTTGAACACAAGTGGAGGGTCTTTGTGCCTCAGCAGCTGCTACACTTGAAGACGTAGGACATTTTAGTGAAAAGATATGAAATTCTATTGTAAGTCTGGACAAAACGCCCTTAGAGGATTGCGGTAAATGAAAGACAGACGTTGGTATCGTGTTGTTGGTTTTCTTGTTGCCAAAATGTCTAGACTCAGCCTCTTGCTCAACCAGGGTCCCTTCCCTTCCCTTCCCTTCCCTTCGCTTCACTGCACTTAACTCGCTCCTTCCACGACAGGGAGAACAAACTTGGTACACCGTCATACCTCAGGGATTATGAGATTATCTTTTCACAGCCACTTTGACTGAAGCAGAGCCTCTCAGGTCATCTACAGTCATGGTCTCACAACATGAGAAACATTCAGAGATGCACGCAAGCAATAGAAAAATTAACAGACAAACAGAAGGAACACTAGAGGAATTAATGCTGCCTGAAAAAAAGACTCTTTTACACCCAAACACATTACATCTGACAGTTAAATACAAATGTTTAAATTGAAACTGTGAATGTACCCGCAGGATTGGGAGTTTCTGAGGTTTTTGTCTCCATCAGCTTCATAATTACAGTTTAAAAACACTAATGGTCCAAAGGCAGAGATCTCAGATCTGGATCACCACCAAAACCAAATCAATTGTTCCTTGGCACAAAGCTGACATGTCCATCAAATTCCATGGAAATTCTTTCACTGGGTTTTAAAACATCCTGCTGACAGACATAGAAACACAGTAACTGTGTAAAACCACAATTCTAATCCAGCTTGGAAGCAAACCTTTCAAACAGTAAAGTACAGGGTTTTCATCAGATTCGTGCAGAGAGAGAGAGAGACACAAACACAGAGCAGTAAACTCTTATCTGACTGAACCTTGAAACGAGACAGTGTCCATCAGTGAGATCACTGGCAGGGAGCAGGAGTCAGTGTGCACAAGAGGATCAAGTTCAGGACCTGCTTCAAAGTAACCCAGAAACAGTATTTAGATGAGCAGGATGTTGCAGTGGGACATGACATAAGGGGGATTCTTCAGATGCAACTGTGGTTTTCACCCAACAACATGTGCAATCCTTCTGTTTGAAAGTTGGAGGTTTGCAGGTTTTATATTGTAAGACTTGATGTGGTTTTAATCTTGGACTGAATTACTGACTGGAATCTTTCCAGGATGTAGACGGTAGAGCAGAAGTGAACCTGTTGAATACAAACGGTTGTCACTTGGGCAGAACATTGTGGTCTCTTTCTCGCAAGTCAAAAGTTTATATCCCTACTATTTGTACCTGGAAAAAAAAACAGTATGCAGCCAAAGTAACAATTTGACTTTTTCACATCAGACAATTTGAGTTGTCATAGCAGGGAAAGCACAGGTGTTACTAATAACAATCACAATGCCATGTTTCCATCCATGTTATGCAGTTATTAGGAGCGGGTTCATCGATATAAGCAGTAGTTAACCCCAATTCTCCAGTTGGAAAACCAGAGAAAGACGGTGCAACAAGATGACATAATTCGGAGAGTAGCAGTCGAATCTCAAACTGTCAAAAACAATGCAGAAAGCAGGATGGAAATATGACATTTTGGTTAGTTTCTTGTATTAATGTGACTGTGAGGAAGGTTACATCAGATCTGTGTGGAGCAGAGCTGCAACTAAAAAGTTTTTTTTACATTAACAAATAATCAATTAGTTGTTTGGTCCATAAAATGTCAGAAACTGATGAAAAATGTTGATCACTGTTTCCCAAAGCCCAGTGGGATGTCCTCAAATGTCTTGTTTCGTCAACAACCCAAAGATATTCAGTTTACTGCCACAGAGGGCTGAAGAAACCAGAAAGTATTCACATTTAAGAAGCTGGAAGAATTTGGACATTTCTTTCTTAAGAAATGGAATAAGCTCTTGTGTATTTGTTTCCTTCTCCTCCAACTATAACTCCCATTGTGTTTATTGAATTCTGTTACATGCACGACTAACACCAAGTAGAAGTATTTTGAATTTGCCGCAGCTGTGATTCGTCCTTCGTCCTCGCTCCTGGGTATCTAGAGCCTTCTGCAACTTTCTGTACTTTAGGTGTTTTTCCTTGAACCACCTTCACTGACTGTACCTTTAGAGTTTACTACTCTATAACTTTACTGTGGATCAGAAGCTGTGTGCATCTGGGCCCCATCACAGTAAGTGCCTGTGATGGGGCTCATCTGCAAAAAATGAACTTTTCAGTACAAAAATGAACCTCAGTTTTTTTTTTAGAAAATAGACAATTAACAAAGAGCCATTCTTAAAAACACTGATGTCCTTCTCCGGGGCTCAAACGCCACATCCACAGAGAAGAAAAAGGATTGAAATTCCTCCCCACAGGAGAGAGTGACATCATTGCGTGTAACACCAAATTAGAGTCCTCGTTTTGAAGCTATATGCTCAGTGTTCCATGGTAAGTAGATTAAATCTGTTCACGGGGCTGATGGCTCTTTCCCAAACAAACATTCCTCCAAAGAGTTATCAGAAAATGTGCCCTGAGCCAAATCTTTCTCCCTCTCCCTCTTCGTCTCCTCCTGCAGACCAGTCAGGCTGACAGCCGCCCATCTGACAGACAGACTACACATTTCTTCTGACACATTACATCACATACAGCCCATAAAAGGCAAAATCACACTTTAACATCTTGGGTGCAGAGTGCAGAAATGTCAGCATGTATTGTTTCCACTAAGAGGAGTAATCCAGGGGACCAGAGGGAAAGACATGGCTTGTGATTTTAAGAGACAGATTTAGAAGAGTCAAGACTTAATGTGAAGATTCAGACCCTCTGCAGTCCCCTGTGTTGTGTTCTCTGTTGCAGGGATGGGATTAGATACAATATGAGCAGGGTATTTATAGCCACTGACATTTAGGAGATAAAGGTAGTGTAGCAGGATGGGTGGAATGTAGAGACAGGAGTTGCAATATTACAGATACTGTGTGGCAGGAGGATTACCTCACCCACTGGCAGGAAGTAGCCTACAGCAGGCTGGATATGACTTCTGCCCCCAGAGCAAACATACACACTGCACAGGAGTCTTACAGGATTATCTGATCTGCTTCAAGTGAAGTTTCTTTGATGCAAAAGTTCAAATTTCTAAGAAAAGAAATGTTACAAATATGCACCCAAAAACAGAAAAGAAATGTCTTAAACCACCACTTTTTCCTGCAGTTCTTGTGATGAAGTGAACCACAAAACAAACAGCTTCAAAGGGGGGGAGAACTCAACAGTCCCTGGAATTTATCACCTCCCATCCTTCACTGTACTGTAAAAAATGTTCCATGGCTTTGCAGCTCCTTGCAAGCAAAATAACTGAAGGTAAATATTTAAAGCCACCACATATTTCCCCACTGAAATGTAACTTAGACTACAAACAGCCTCCACTTGGAAAAAAGAAAAACTCCACCTGTCTCTGGAATTTATCACCTCCCATCAAGGCTGAACACTTCTTATAAATCACCTTAATTCAGGTCCCACGGGATCCTTCCTGCAGGCAGCCAGAAAAAACCTCATCAGAAACACATTTTAAAGTCTTACCTCATCAGTAGTGAGGACATAGTAGATCCTTGTGGATTTGGCTTCAGGTATGTGACAGTAGTGGTCAGGTGCAGTTTTGCACCCGTATCATGGTGTGAAACGTCGCGGCTCAGATGCACAGTGCATCCCAGCTGCAGACTGCTCCGACACACGGGTTTCAGACCCAGCACCATCCATATCCCTCTCTCTCCTCTGGGCTTCTCCGTCCTATTCTTCTACTTTTCTTTCTTTTTTTAAGTGAAACTTTAAAGGAACTTTTTTTCTCACTTTCAGCTGCAGAGCTCGTCCATCCAAACAGCTGTGTTACTCAGTTCCCAAAACACATCACATCACTTTTGTCTTTCGGGACGCGCAAAGACGCATCTTCTGCTGGATTCAGGTGCAAAAAGTTCCGTTTTCTATTTCTTCTTCACATTAAAAAAAACCACCTGCTGTGATTCACACGGGTACTGCACATTATTCCAAATAGAAAAAAGTTAACTTGTCTGCATAAAAGTCTTACTATCGCCTCCAGACAGGTGATTCCACTTGTGCCCAGTCCAGCACGGATAAAACCCTCCTGTGTCTGCGGGTAGCTCCACTTGTTGTCTCTTCGCCTTTTGACCTTCCTCTCGGTCCAGACAGGTCCAGTGTGCGCACAGGGCGGCAGGGACGCCTGGTAGAGAGCACAGAGAGCCACCGGGCAGCGCTCCACCAGTGCACCGGCTGAGTGAGCGCGGGGCGGTCGGGGCGGTCGGTGTGTCTGTCGGTGTGTCGGGTGTCTCCCTCCCTCTCTCTCCACCTGAGCGATGCATTCCTGCGATGAACACGCCTCTCTCCTCCAATCGCAGCGCAGCAGCTCCTCTGAAGTCAGGAGGTGACACAACGTTTCCTACAGCGACCATGAAGGTGAAGAGGAGCTGCTCTTCAGCGCTGGAGGATAAACTCCCAAAAACTTTAACTGAAACGACAAAATGATAACTTAATGGAAACCAGGTGTTTGCACAGTGAGTAAAATGTACCCAAGGACCAAGAATGAGTGAATAATGATTATTCATTAATGCATCAACACAATCATCCAAAACTGAAGGTAAATTCATAAAAAATAAACTTAAATGTTTCAATTTTTTGAATTTTTTGAGGATTCACAGGATGTATGGATTAGTAATCAGGTTTATTTTGGAGCTCCTCAGTATTTTAGACATATTATTTACTTATTATTATTTTATAATCTGATGAATATAAAATTTTAATCTGCAGCCATCATTTAAATAGGCAAAAAGAAATGTGCCTTTGATATCCGTAAAGGTGTTCCTATGTGTCCCACTGTGTGTATGGCATTTTGTGTCTCCTATGATCTGACAGACAGGTTACACTTCAGGAAAAAAGTTAGTGTAGAAACCTAACAAATGCTTCCATATAGGACCCGAGGTATCACTGAATGGTGTGATTCATATGGTTTCATTTCACCACCATCATCCAGCTGGACACCTGAAGACAAGTCACCTGTCTGCATATATACTATATCGCCTTATGTCGTGTATAGGCATTAACAAACATATAAACCCACAATCATCCCCCTTTCTGTGCAATATATACAGTATACAGCACTGCCTGGTCCCAGGTAGTATGTGCAGCAATCTGATTAAACACATGACTTTAGGAATATGCAGCACAGAGCCAAAACCAAAACAAGGATCTTGAATCTAGAATTTCAATATTAAATTAACACAAACAAGACCACTCACAGGGGCCAGTTTCCCACATGACCAGGTTAGTAATCCAGCCTTGCCTGCTACTCCCGAAAGAGTAGGACATTATAAATAACTATGTTTTTGCTAAAGTAAGTCAAAGAGTGTCTGTGTAAAGTTTATACTTATTATACTGCGGTGGTTGTGGCAGTTTACAGGGACCTTAATGACTGTTTAGGTATATTATAATCTCCTATATCACATCATGTTAATTTAACATTCCTACAGGGGCTTAATGTATTTTAGATTTTCAGAGTTCAGTGTTTGTTCACACACAAACACACACACACACACACACACACACACACACACACACACACACCTCCTTCCAGGTTCTTTCCACCATCATATCTTTCAGTCCCACCTGCATCCTGCTATCTTAGTCACTCTTTCCTAATGTCTTCCCGTCTATGTGCTTTCTCACACCCCATCACATCTCCTCATCTTGCTGTGTGACTGCACTAGGCAACCGCTTTAGGGAGAGAGACCTCATCTACATGTCAGGACACCTTTCTGTGTTAATCACTCTGTACTAGCTATCCTTTCTCACAAGGACGTCTAACATGTCCTCTTTTTTTGTAACTCTATCCCTCTGGCGTCTCCTTTGTTTCTCACTGAGCTTTACATTTGAGGTATCCCCTTTTAGCAGGTTTTGTTTCACAGTTGAAGCACATTTTGTGATGTATGAGGCAGCAACATGCAGGTCATCTCCAGTTTCTAACACTGCCTGTCCAACAGTACAAATGGGACGACTGAGGGATGGTGAAGCAACCACGGGGCCTTTCTGTGAACTCCGTCTCCACCTCGGTCTGTCTCAGTCCTTTTAAGCTCAGCCAAGGCGGAGACAATTCATCTGTGCTACAGTTTCAACACGCAACCTTGAACTATCATCTGGAGCCGTGCAGACATAACAGAGGAAACAAGACATTAGTTTCACCACACAGAGCCGCAGAGGTGTTAATGTTATCTGAGAGCCTTCGCTGTGATCTCAGTCGTCAGTTTCCGTTACTACTAGTTAGCTTGTTTTTGACCACATGGGGTCATGTTGCTAGTGTAAATATTATGCTGAAGCAGACCACTTAGCAGTACACAGGATGGGATGTTGCAGTTATTTGAAGCCCATTACAGATGCCAAAAGAATGATTTACAAACCGACAAATGTTGACTTGCTGACAACATGAGCCTGCAGCGCCATAAATCTACAGGAGCATCAGACAGGCAGCAGCAATCAGCAGAGCGCGGTTACAGAGAGCGGGTTCGTCACAATCCGGTGGGCTTGTCTTCTCAATAACATGTGTTTGGTTTAATTAACAAGGAATAAAGAAGACTGCAACATTTCTCTCAAGTAGAAATCTAGTAGTTTTACATAAAAGAACTGTTTATTTTTAACAAATCCCATAAAAATACAAAGCATCATATTCTATATCCTTAATTTAGTTTCATACAGTTTCATTTGTAAAACGAATAAAAAAGGTTCAGTAATTTCCTAAAACTGCTGGGCACTGTAGTTTTTATCAAATGGGAGGAAATAGAGTACATTAGGTGGGGACTATTTTCAGCAGTGGATTAATCCACATTTAGGGCTCTAGTGAGGCATGCACGCATGTCGATACCAACACGATACTGAAGTAAATACTGCGTCTTGTATTACTAAAAACAGATTTACTGTTACTACTAGTAACCAAAGGTATTGCAAAATCAACCTGGACTTAAATCACGAGGGTTATAACTTTAAGAATTGTATCTCAGAGAGCAGAAATTGATCATACAGCTTCTTTGAGTAACAGTTACTTGCATTGCATTAGGGTTCATTATGATCTATGTACTGTATAAGGGAACAGATACTGGTTGCTGTCCATAGTGACTGTGAAAACATCAATAAGAGATCCACAGTGCACATTCTGTGCAAAAAATATTCTCTGATTAAGTTAACCTAAAGTTAATACGAGGCTTTAGTTAAATCAGTCTGATTATTTTTAGCATGACGTTCCTTTTTTACCACAGCTCAACAGCTAAACACCGTCTAGGGAAACATGGGAAACACAAAACAGGAATTTCGCACTAGAAATGGAGAAAGTTGACTGTAGACTGTTGACTATTCTCGGGTTATCAAATACCAATGCTGCAGCAACCCAAAGTATCTGTATTTTACTACCTGGGAGCACAAACGTACCATGTTCTACCATGTACCCAAAGCATTGGTAGCCTATTTGGCGACCTGGGAATGAGACTCAGCTATCTCTCCACTGAAGGAATGACCCCACCTTTAACTGTACCAAAGTATTTAGTTTCATCCAACAGTTTCATATTGTGGCTCAGGGGTTGTGGGGGGTTGTGGATCATTCGTGTTGTGAAGAAATTCATCACCATCAAGTTGAAGGGGAATGTAGGCAGTCTGGCTGTAAACCCTGCAGTTAGACAAGGTCGGGATAAATGATTATAAATGTGTAGATCTGTAACAGCAGTCCTGTTCTGAAGGAGATAAATTCTATAGAATTGTTTCTGTCAGCAGTGAGTTGCTCCTCTCTACCTGTGTATATAACGATTAGTCAAGTGCTCCAAGGTCTCTGTGCTTGTCCCGGCTTGTAGAGACATTTTCCTCTGCCCTCCCTATAGTTCCCCCATCTTTACTGAACACACTTCACTGTTTAATGCTCTGTGTGTTTACTGAGAGACAGATTGCGCAGTGTTTACAGTAATCATCACATTCATGCACGTACGCTCTCTCTTTCTCTGTGTGTGTGTGTGTGTGTGTGTGTGCATTTGGCAGCCGACGGTGTGCTGCTCTGTAATAAGAGGCTTCTGAGCTGAAGAGGCACTTTACCGCTCCTCAAAGACATTAGTGGGGAGGCGGGTGGGAGGTGGAGGGGGGAGAGTTGGAAGGCTACACCCCCTATCCACCACCACCACCTCCCCCCCCTCTCTCTTTCAGGTTTATACTGAGCTTGGCAGCGCGCCAGAATGGAGAAATTTGATGGGTGGACAGGGTTTCACACACCAGCACTGATGAAAGACTGCTGGTGGTGGTGTGAAAAGTCCCATACATTACCCTCAGCATTAACACAGCTGCAGCTAGGAGGTGAAATGTGCTTTAGCTTGTAAGAAGTGTTTAGTTGCTGTCTGGTGAAAACCTACAATTTAAATCTGACTGTAGGCTAAATGAGCAGTGTGTAGGATTTAGGAGGATCTATTAGGAGAAATGGAATATTGTTGGTATGTTTTCATTAATGTGTAATCACCTGAAAATAAGAATCGTTGAGTTTATGTTACCTTAGAATGAGACGATCCTCTTCCACGGAGTCCGTCATGTTGAACCAGCATGTTTTCTACAGCGGTAATAATGATGTGATGCTTTAAAGTTTAACTGGAAGATTTAGATTGCTGTTCACTATCCACCAGCTGTCAGTCATTTACACTAAGGAGCTCGTTAAGGAACTCCCATAGATTGTTTATGTAGAGAAACACTTACCGCTCTCATTAATATTTCCAAACAAAGTGACACAGTAAACAATACAGAACTACATTAATAATAAATGAAGATAAACAGTTGAGTCAGCTGATATTTACTGAGGTAGTTTATACTGCAGCAGTATGGTATAAAGAGACTTTTGTGTGGAACTCAGAGAACGTCTTGTTTTGTTTGACATAAAGTGGTAAATATCAGTATAGAATTAGTGTTATGTTTGAATCTGTATGAAAGTGGTTATACACACACACACACACACACACACACACACACACACACACACACACACACACACAGTGAAAGCAGGCCAGTTTACATTATGTTCAGTAATGATGGATCCTGGCAATACCTAAAGCTTTAATCTAGTCTGTGATGAATTTATGTCTCTTTAGTGCATGTAAACTGCATAAATATTTATATTTTTGATCATTTTCAGTATTTTTTGTCAGCTATCCTATGATTGTATGGGCAGATGCTAATATATATATATATAAAAAAGCATCCTTGGCAGAGTAAGTGCCATTTTACTCTTTGCATGTTTGCCCAGCAGGCTA